GAGATTGAATTGGTTGAGGAGAGATTTTAAATTCCTACCCACAGGATCACGCATTATCTGACGGTGGCAGAAAAAGGAGGCTTCTAGCCCGGCTTGGAGGTACGGGATATTGATGAGATGAATGAATTTGAGAGATGTAGTGAAAATAAGGTGTGGCTAATAAAGCTCGGGCCAGGCCAAACGATGACCCCTGTCAAAATTATCCAGAATATTTGGAACTTTTCTCCCGGGCGACAACCTCACCACCCTCACACACCCATACGATGCCGGCCAGACAACGATCCAAAAAGCTGGTTCCCAGTCGCGAAGCAGAGAATGGCTCTGCGCCAGAAGCAGAGCTGCCACAGGAAGACAGTGGCAGCGAGGTTGAGAGTGACAATGAGAGCGTAGAAGCCATGGAGAAGGATGAGGAGGAAGAGGAGCTGGACAGACTGGTGTTTGGAGATGTGGCGGGGTTTCAGCATATGTTGGGGCAGGGAATGGATGTGGACTCGGAGGGATCAGACAGAGAGGTCGGCGAAGAAAGCTCGGATTCTGGAGGACTCGAGCACGTTCAGGATGCCGATGTATGTTTTCTTGCCTGCAATGGTCGCAAATGGAGCTGACAGGCATCCTAGCTTTTTTTCATGGACTCGGGTCCAGCTGCAGGTGATTTCAGTGCTTTGCTATTACATCAGCCCGGAAAGGCAGAAGACGAGCCAGCGTGGGAAGACAGCGAGGACGAGCGACTGACGGTATCGCTTGCTGGGAACTCACGGCTACGAAAACTCCGGGTCAACGAAGGGGAAGATATCATAAGTGGCGGAGAGTACTCGAGAAGGTTGCGGATGCACTTTGAACGCCTGAACAATGTACCGGACTGGGCGCAGACGCAACGGCCTGCAAAGCGCCGTCGCAGATCGTCAGCAGGCTCAGACTATTCAAATTCCTCGAACGGGATGGATGTGGACAGCGAGGATCTCTCGACTTTGCCCCTGGCCCGCCTCCTCCAGAGCGCTAGATCTCTGACAAAGACCCCAGTCAGCTCAGCAAAACGCGCGAAGCTTCGCCCAGAGGTCCTAGATATACAGCAGACACGATCGATTCCCGGCGCACAATCTGCCCCTGTTACCTCGCTCTCTTTCCACCCCGAGTACCCCATACTTCTCTCTTCTGGCGCAGAATCTACGCTCTATCTTCACCACATCGATCCGACCGCACACCCTACTCCCAATCCACTCCTCACCGCCATCAAAGTGGGCAATACCCCACTTCACACATCTGCTTTCCTAGATCCGGCGGGAGAGAAGATATTCTTTTCGGGACGCCGACGATACTTTCACATCTGGGATCTCCCATCTGGCACGATCGAGGCTGTCACCCGAGTCTACGGGCAAAAAGACGAGCAGAAGACAATGGAGAGGTTCAAACTCAGTCCGTGCGGCCGGTACATGGCGCTTGTTGGATCCTCGAAAAAAGGAGGTGGTGTGATCAACATATTAGACGCAGCAACGACGCAGTGGATCGCCTCGATGCGGATAGAAGGGGCCAACGGCGTGGCGGATTACGCGTGGTGGAGGAACGGCGAAGGATTAACGGTCGTCGGCAAGGGAAGCGAGGTGGCCGAATGGAGCATCGCCTCCCGATCTTACGTCGCCCGATGGACCGACGACGGCCATGCTCCCACGGTGCTCACCCTGGGCGGCGCGAACGGACCGCAGGCCCTGGGCGGCGACCGCTGGGTCGTCATCGGTTCCCAGAGCGGCATCGTCAACATCTACGACCGGAGGACCTTCGTCTCCTCCGTCTCGGATGACCACAACAACAAAAATACGAAGAACGCCGTTGTTGCCATCCCGCCGCGACCCCTGCCCAAGAAATCCTTCGACCAGTTCACCACGCCCACGAGCACCCTCGCCATCAGCCCCGACGGCCAGATCCTGGCCTTCAGCTCCCACGCGAAGAAGGACGCCCTGCGCCTCGTCCACCTGCCCAGCTGCACCGTCTACCGCAACTGGCCGACGGACAAGACCCCCCTGGGCCGCATCACCGCCCTGGCCTTTGGCAGGCGGAGCGATCTGCTGGCCGTGGGGAACAAGAATGGGAAGGTCCGCATGTGGGAGATTAGAGCTTGAGTTGGGTTGCTAGGTAGTGGTAGTTGCTAGGTAGTGGTAGCTAAGTGGTAGTTGAGTGGTAGTTAGTTAGTCTACGAGAAAAAGAAATTAAAAAAAAAATCGAAAAATGAGAATTGGAACTGGAATTGGAACTGGAATTGGAACTGGAATTGGAATTGGAATTGGAATTGGAATTGAAAAAGACGTCGTCTGTCCATGGGCGTGATGGACTGGGCAGTAAACAGAAAAGTACCATGATAACCCCGGATAGATACCGAGAGAAAAGAAGAGTAGGCTAGGTAGAAAGAAAGGAACTCAGCCTGATGGTTTCTTCATTTCACGTCTACTACCTACCTATGTAATTCATTTCACGTGTGTACTGTACGTACCATATGGCAAAACCAAAGACCAAAGACCAGAGACCAGGCAGGAGCCCCGACTACCCACCTAGGTATGTATACACGAGCTGTGCTCGCACCAGCCAATTCTTTCATTCATTCATTTATTCATGATTATATCTCATCCGTGTGAGGAGCCGCGATGGAGCGAATCTCATCGTCAGTCTTGCTTGGAATTATGCACACCCCTTCCATGCCCTCCTTGCCCATGAGTATCCCCATCGTTATGTACGTGTACGCCCCCCATTCCATCCACCTTACCCCCCCTCCCAAATTATGACATTTGAAAAACGCCATCATAACCCATCCCATCATGTCCATCCTATCTTCCAGTGTCCAGTGCATGACCCAAGGCCAGACAAAAAAAAAACTCCGTCGTAGAGCCCAGACCCAGACCCGGAGCAGAAACCCAGAGCGCAATCTTCGTCATATTTATCATGTCCATTCGTTTGCGTCGTTACAATCATGAAAAGGCTCGGCCAATCGCCGTTTCTATGCTCCAGCGGTGATCTTCGTGGAACTTTTGCGCAACAGGCATCCGTGCCCAAGAAAACAAGTATTAAAAGGTCCATCCACGCAGACGGACGTACAGGCGCACAGGTCCAGCAAGAGGTACGAACACTGCAGCACAGTCGAAAAACAATGCAGGCAACGTTGTAAAGAATGCGATCAACGGTCACCAGATCCACACATACACTTGAAGTATGCATGCACAATGGCAAGAGAGCAGAAAACATCCAATCCCAAAACGCCAGCCAGCTAGCCAGCCAGCCACATCCCAGTCCTGTCGGCCCACATTGCACCATGCATCGTATCGTAGTGTGTAAGCGTGTTCATCGTCAGAATCCATCCAGAAAAGAACCCGAGATGGCCCCTCGAGATACAAATGCAGAAGCGAAGAAATGAAATAGAAGAGAGATTGCAAAGTGCTGTAGACAAGATGTGATGCAAGACTCCGTCATGTGCCTCCCTTGATGGCGATCATCGTAGATGCTTAGCAGCTGCCTCGCGCTCCCGAATCTCCTTGAGCTTGGTATCGAGAGTTTCAAGACGGCTCTGCAGACTTGGACCGGTACCGCTACCGAAATCAAAAGACTCGATGCTGTGGCGGGTTTGGTGCATGGTTGCGAAGGCGGGCCGTTTGATCGTAGCCGAGCTATCTTGGAAGAGACGGCGGGGAAAAGTGTTGCTTGGGCCGGACTCAGAAAAGGGAGAGCCGAGCTGCGGACCAATTTCGGCGCATGAGAGAAGCTTCGCGGGTTCTGCAGTCGAAGTAGGATCACTTGGCTGAGGGTTCAAGGACTCGGCATTGGCAATCCCAGGGAAGCGAAATGGTGGCGATCTGTGCAAGAATCCAGACTCACGGTATCGCAGAGCCTCGTTGCCCAGAGAGAAACCTCGACTGCGTACTCGGCGGCTGTTATCCAAAGGCAAGCCAAACAACTGCTCGTTCAAGATGGATGGCCGCACAATGGGGCTCAGCTCGTCCTCGAGGTCATGTTGCGCTCGTCGCTTCTGAGTTCCGTTCAGGGAGCGAGGTTGGTTCAAATGAAGAGGCGATCCGAGGGATCCAGAAGTATCGGACTGGGTGCGAGGTGGCTCGGGACGAGATGCACAAGAGTCCACAGTCTTTGAGGACGAAGGACCATACGTCCGCGCAACAAAGGGCGAGGCGAGTCGGCGAACTTTCGATTGCCCGAGGGTGGCACGTGAGGCGGCAGAACTTGATAGTTTGATTTCTTCATGAGGGACAAACAATCTTCGGATATTGACCGGCTCGGCAGCGAGCTGGGCTAACGGTCCATCGGGTTGCATTGACTCGGCCGTGCTGGTAGTCAGCGACAGAGCGATTTCCTTGGTGCGGAAAGAAGAGTCGAGGTGAGCACCGAAAGGCGAAGGACGGGGAGGCGCACAGGTTCTCGATCGGCCTGGGACCCGGGTGAAAGGAGTCGGGACTGGCGATTGATGGTGTCGGTATCGAGAGACGGCCATGTCGTTGGTCTTGCGACACATCTCTCTTAAATGGTGGCGGGTAGCCGCACTGGCGTGTGGCCATGCCCCATAGACCTTGGGACTCTCCACAGTAGGAGTTGGACTATCGCTGTCCGCCAATGCGGAAGAAGATATCATTCGAGACTGTCTGTGAATGACAGGAACAGTTGACGAGACTTTCTGACCCTTCCAGCTTCGTCTGGCTTCTCTCGCCACCCGGTGACAGACGCCCTCTGGTGGGACAGCACCTGCACTGATACGGAAAGGTGTGACGGTTGGATCTTGCAGGTAAAGCATGTAGGTCGTCCAGAGATGAGCGCTTTGATCCTTGCTCCAAGGGGCGTCCGACCGAGCTTTGCTTCGAATCTTGTGGTTGAGCGTGCTGGTTGGTGCCTGGAATGTGTCTTCTTGGATCGCAGCCTTGATTTTGCGCTTGGGGACGGGAAAGGTGAAAGGGTCCGAGATATCAGGCTCTGGCGAGGTGCAGTTGCCATCGTCTGAGGGGCGAGAGGCTCGACTTCCACTGTAGAACGAGTCGTCGCTGTAGTATGAAGTGTCAGAGAGAGATGATGACGGTCTCGCGTACTCGTCTGCGGGCGAGGCGGACATGCTCCAGTCTGGTCGGCGCTGAGCAGTCTCCAAGGAGAGCATTGGGACTGGTGTCTTTGGGGCTGGCCCGCAGGAGGGTGGGAGCAGGGCAGAGGTGTCAATCGACAACTGCTCTCGATCTGGCATACCCAGATCATCTCGATCGGCGATTTCGATAGTTGGAACTGGCATGTCTTCGGCAGCAACTGAGGCGAGAAATTGTTGAGTGGAAACGTTCAGTAACGACGTAGCATTGCTTCTTCGCACCTTCAGACGTTGTCGAGGAGGAGGAGGAGGAGGAGGTTGGCAAGGTTCTGAGAAAGGAATTTCGGGAGTCTTGGGCTCCTGATAACGGAAACCACGAGGCAGGGTGTGCGACCCGTTTGAAAACATGGTTGTTATTTGTCGGTGCGGCCGTTTGGTAGTCGACGCGCTGGAATGTGTGGAAGAAAGCGTGGCGAGGGAGGCAAGGGACCGGTGGTGGGTACAAAAGCAGCAAACGCTTTCGCAAGCAGGTACAGAGAAAAGGGTACGCCCGAATTGAAGATAGATCGAAGGGACGGCCGAAGAAGCAAGGCGGAGGAGGGTGTTGTTGGTGTTGAAGAGGGGAGCGAGAACAAAGGAAGTCGGGTTCGCAAGTAAGCAAAGTCGCGACTTCGGCTGCTCACTTATGAAAGTGAACTGCAGATTCGTGACTCCTCCTACCAGTGCTCCGATATGTCCAGGAATGTACGATGCTCACGAGCTCTGCATCTGCGACTGGGCGAGGGGGTGAATTCGAATGGAAGTGGCTCGGTCGCAGAGAGTGAAGTCGGAGTTGGGTTGCGACGGGGCAAAGGTGAATGCGCTCGATCGATTACAGGCGGGCAGGCGGGGAGGCGGGCAGGCGGGCAGGCAGCAAGACACGTTTGTAGGGGCCGGCCAGTATTCTCGCGCCACGGAGAGGAAAACGGTGAGGGCAGGGCGATGCGCCTGGATGGATGTCTTGGAATTGATCGACTTTCCCGTGGTCGCAGGGTTTTCCCGTTCCCGTCACGAAAGCGCCGGGGGGGGGGGTTGTTGACTGGAATGGGGGCGATGAGTGAAATTGCAAGTTGAAGGTGTGAAGAAGGGGCGAGAGCGTTCGAATATGGAGAATCGGTGGGTCGGTCGGTCAATTAGTTGAAGGGTGCAAGTAGGAAAAGAGCGTAAGTTGGTGTTGGTGAGAGGGTATTTTGGTTGGTATGGTGTACGGTACCAGTAGGTGAGAGGAAGAGAGTGGGTGGTGGTGAGCGAGAGAAGGTGTGACGTGGGAGACCTGGCTGCTCAGGCTGCTCTGGGGGGGGGGAAGGAAAGGCGATAAGGTCGATAGCTTGGACCGACGACGGAGCTCGGCGAATCAGAAAAGGCGACGACGAGAAGCTTTGAAGTGCTGGGGCCCGCAAATCACCATGCGAGCGAGCGGTGAGTGGAGGCACAGCCACAGGCGATGCGACGAGGGTACTACGTATATACTTATTAGATGTGTATACTTCTATTAGATTTGTATATCATTATATGTATATATTATATACTATATTACATACTATACCATACATATGTATATCGGTCTATATACAACCTTCATGTGTGCGTGTGATTTGACATGCCTGATGAGGTACGGTACGGTACCACTCTGCGAGTGATACGCAGCGGCACGCAAAAAAGGAGATCCCTCGGAAATAATCATGTTAACCTTTGGGCAGTGGGAACATCAGCTGATCCAGACCCTGGGACGAACCGAACTGAGTGAGTGCATCACGATTCACAACTTCTCCAACGGCCATCACACCCGTTCGTTCGTTCGTTCGTTCGTTCCATCTCACAACTCACATTTCACATCCCCCCTCCTCCCACCCGCTCCCGCCCTCGACCGCTGCAAATGAAACACCTACCGGTACCCTTCCCCATTCACGCGTCCATCTCGCGGCCGGTTCTACCACGTCTCTCTCCTCTGCAGATTTCCCGGCTCAACGCACATACAGAGTACACAGACAGAACGTTCGGGAAACCTCCCTTACAAACAAGAAGCATGCATGCGTGCCCTGGCAGGCCCTTCGAGCTCGTATCGCTAGGTGGGTAAGATACTACTCCGGACATGCAATGCAAGCCTCGCCCAGCTCGAGGAATCGAGGTACAAGGGTTGAAGGCTACAAATCACAGCATAGCACGTCTGAGCGTGGAGTGCGTGCCGTTTGGGGCAGGGCAGTGGGCACGCACGTACGTAGTACTACTGTACTACGTACGCGCTGTGTCTGCGTCTTGCATCCCTGGTGTGTTCCTGGTACTTGCAGCTGGGCGGGGACAGGAGAGGAGGATAAATACTTGGGGGGTTGCTGTATGGAGAGGTACGTTGATCTGTGTCTCTGTTGGTATGGGCTGGCGCGGAGCGGTGGAGCGGGCGAGTCGACAGAACTGGATAGGTATGTCAGGATAGGGGAAGACGAGGTTTGTACATGGAGATAGAGACGGAAATGCCTGCACGCACTCCAACTGGCGGCTACGGAGCGAGCTGGTTCGCAGGTACCGGTCAGGTACACCTACAAACGGGCAGATTAATGCATGCATGCAGCAGCCAAGAAGAGGAGAATCGGCAAGTCATCGCAGCCGTGTGGAGCGCCTTTCTGGTAATCCACCCCCGGCTTGGATCGGAAGAGAGAAAAGGGCCTCGGGAGGTTTAGGTAAAATTGGATCTCGCCCAACAAATAGAGGAACCTCTGTTACTGATAAAGGTAGGCCAGATGCCTATTCAGGATACTACCTTTCTCCTGCTGCTCCATTGCCTCAGCACCGGCCGGCGTCACCTCGGCAAGCGCGGCAAGCGAGGGCAAATGGCATTTTGCGAGTTTTGCGATATCCGACCGGCCTCTCCCTCTTGACGTCCAGCTTTCGAAGTATTCGTGGACTTTAAACAAGTCATTGCTTGGAATTTTGACGAGTCTCTACAAGTGTGGGAAAACTGTGGAAAGGGTGCATCTTTTATCTTAAGCTTAAGTGAAGCTGACTGCCCCGGATCGGATTCAGGGGTAAAAACCATCTATCCCTATTTCCATTCGACAGGTTCCATCCAGCGTGCCACCCATCATCCTTCAGCCACTCTATCAATAGTGTCACTGTAACATCCCATCGTGAACCTCATCTTGCGACGCAAGGGATGGCTTCACTCTTCGGAATGTGTTACTTTCCTCCGTCTTCTCTTTCTCTCTCTCCCTCTCTCTCTGTGTCTTTTCCTTCTCCGCTCAGTATTCAATTCTTCGCAATTCACACTGATTGTAATCAATTATTTTCCCCTCGAGTCAAGGCAAGATGCCTTCTCTCAACCCACACCACATCTTCATCCTCAAAATCTCCCTCGCCTCCATCTCCCTCCTCCTAACAGCCACCTACCTCTTCAGCTCCTCTTCCTCTTCCACCCACTTTACCGAAATCACCACCTCCCTTCCATCTCTCCCATCTCTCCCGTCTCTCCCGTCTCTCCCGTCTCTCCCAACCATCAGCAACCCCCTCTCTAGCTCCCCTTCCTCCTCATCCGCCAAAGCCACCTTCGTATCCGCCCTACTCGCGGACGAGAACGAGATAGATGGAGCCTTCGACAACAAGACTCTAGTAGAGTTGTGTGCAAGCAGGTCCTGGACGCCAGGGTTGATCTTCAAGTGCGAGCCGTTCGAGGGGGGTATTGCGAATGTGAGGAATGTGCTGCTGAATTGTGTGAGATATGCTATTGAAGCGGGAGGTCTGCACTAACCTTCCTTCCATCGGATATCAGATATTTATTGGCTAACAGAAGAAAATAGCTACCTCTCTCATAACCCCCGAGATCCTCCTCCGCACCACCGCGTCTCCAGACGGAGCATCAGTGCCCCTCACCCACTATTTTGACCTCCCGCACTTCACGGACCTGCTCACCACATCCTGCCCTCAAATCTCCCTCATCGGCTCTCAAAACGACCTCTACAACGCGCCCTCAACCGCGGTACCCATCCCGCTCGTCCCCTCCTCACTCACCGGCCCCCTCCTGGGCGGCTTCATCCTCTCCGCACCAGGCAACTGGTCCTCTTCCTTCCGCGCCTTTCTCAATGCCACCCACCCCGAACCTCCCTCCGCCATCAAACCCGTCCTCGTCTCAGTGAGCCCTCCACTCCTAGAATTTCCTCTCACCTACGATGACCCGCACTTCGTCGCGCAGTTTGGACGCCTTCTTCGCTTCCGTCCCGATGTGCGCAAACTCGCCGCTAGCGTCATTTTCGCCATGAACGAAAAGTACACCTTGGAAATGAAAGCCGGCGGAGCTTCCGGTATAGAGAAGAAACTATGGTACGGCGCACACCTCCGCACCGGACAGGATGCGCTAGCGGCAGGGTGGACACCGTACTCGATGCAGGAAACAAACTACATCTCGCACGCCCAGGTGTCCCACCTGCACCTCATCTACATGACATCCACCTTCCCGGGTGATCTCGTGACCTTCACCGAGAAAGCGGCGGGATTCAACATTAGCGTGGCGACCAAAACTTCCCTTCTCGGCAGCGGTACCGACGACGGGGCTGCAAAACCCGGGTATGAAGAAGAGTGGGCGGCGCTGGGAGGTTTAAGCTGGGACCAGGCGCTGCTTGTCGATTACGAGGTTCTGCTGAGGAGCTCGGTGTTTGGCGGGACGTGGGAGAGCAGCTTTAGCTGGGGCGTTGCGATGCGCCGGCACGTCGTTGCATCGGGCAAGAAGGGCTGGGTGAACATCGCGCAGCGCTCCGTCGATGGTCCTTTTACTCATATCTCGCCGCGCTCTTTGCACTCTTCGCACCACTATCTCTCGCCTCCAAGCAGGGGGTCCTTCCTGCCTCTCCCCCACGACGGTTTCGCTAGTGAAGCTAGGCTTTCCCACCAAAAAGCCAAAAGAAATGGAAAGGGCAAGAGGCAAGAAGAAGAGGGAAAAGCGGAGTTGAGCGAGAAGGAGAAGGGCAACGGCGGGGTGGTGAAGGAGGCGAAGGAGGGGGAGACGTGTTTTAAGGATCGGCTCAGTGTTGTGTTTGGGCCTGTGGGGGAGGGGAGACGCGTCAGGGGGAGCTTGTGGCCTTGAGACTTTCTGGGGGGAGATTATGTTGCTTTGAGGGTTATCTTTTGTGGCTTTGAATATTGGCGACAAGGAATTGGCGATTGGTCAAGCGAACAAATGGGGAAAAGAAAAGAGGGAGAAAAGGGCTGGCAAATTCAGAATGAGGCTCGGTACCTGGCGGGTGGCTACCACGCTCTCCGGATGGAAGAAAGGGTAGGCGTTTTTGGCCTGCGAGAAACACTGGGACAGGATAGGATAGAATAAGACGGGACTGGTAGGCTGTTTACAGATAAGATTCGCTATCTCTAGTCATCCTCGGATCGGAATCTGGGTATGGAATTTTGTATATGGAATTCTGCACATAGGATCTGGGAAGCGGCGATTACATTCGATACCTTCGCACGAGAGAGGGGAGGGGTAAAGGAAGAAGGTGTACCAAAAGAAGATAAGCTACCGTATAAGCTTATTACTATGCTTAATAATATGCTTATCGATATAAGCTTCCAAGGATGACCCTGGGACAGCTTGGGGGGTGGTCCTTTAACGAAAAGACGAGCTTTTCTAAACGACGATTTCATCGATGAAAAGGATTCATTCCATCTTAGCTTCGATGGGGATGATGTGAATTGTGTAAATAGAGAATCTATTTGATCTGAAATAACGATTGTTGAGTGATCTAATACCTAGCTCTGCTAACACCTTGGAGAGCGTTCCAAGACGGTCAGCTGACCGTTCAAATGCCCTCGTATATGTGGCTCGAGCACGGCCTACTGTACTATAGTAGTGCTGTAGGGAAGGCGAGGTAATTGATAAGAAAAAGGCGGGCATCGATTCGATCGGAGATGACAGCCAGCCGACCATGAAGCGCAAGACACGAAAAGCTGTGGTACACTTCGCGCTCTTCTTTGGTGCTCTGCTTCTCATTTTAGTTCTGAACCGGCCAGAGGCACGCGGCAAGAAATTCGCATGGGACAGGGTCCGGTACCAGACGACGGCCACCGAGCTCCCCGAGGCGCGCGGTATCTGTCTCGGCCTGGCGACCACCTCCAAGCCTGCTCTGGTCGTGTCGCGGGTGAGCTCCGATGGCGACATCAAATGGTCGGATGGTCTCTCCGACCTCTACCACCGCTGTGTCTACACAGCCGATGCGCCGCGGGACCAAACCTCCGCGCACCTGCAAGTCCCCGAGAACCGAGGCCACGAGGCCATGGGGTACTTGACGTTCCTCATCGATAACTACGATCAGATCCCCGACGCCGGCGCGGTGTTCGTCCACGGAGCGCGCTGGGCGTGGCACAACGATGCCCCTGACTACGACAACCATTCTCTCCTCTCGCGGCTCAACGTCACGAATGCGCTGGCCGTCTCGGGCTATCACAATCTGCGCTGCGACTGGAGCCTCAGTACCTGTCCTGCGTCTTCACCGCCGCAGGGGAGCTTGGAGACCTCCTCGCAGGCCTATCTCTCGCCCTGGGACTATCGAGCCGTGTCCGACTCCCTCTTGCCCGTTGGGCTGACGGCCATCTTCGGTGGTGGCCAGGGCCCAGCTGCCGCTGCCGCACTCGATGTATACCTGGGCCGAACCCGGACCGTCCGCTCCCAATGCTGTGCCCAGTTTGTTGTTTCCAAGCAGAGCATCCGTAGGCATTCCCGCGCCGAGTACGTGGCCCTCCGGCAGTGGCTGCTCGACGGGAGCCGCTCCGGCAACAACAACAACAACAGCAACTACAACAAGAACGCCGCGCCAGCGGACGACAGGATTGCCGGCCGGATCTTGTCGTACGTCTGGCACATCTTGTTCATCACGCAGAGCGACTCCGACGTTGCTGCTGGCGTCGTCAGTCTCGAGCAGCTGAACTCCCAGGCGTGTCCTCGTGCCGACGAGTGCTATTGTCGCCTCTATGGCAGATGCAACCTCGAGGGCTGTACCGCTCCTGGTAGTTGCCACGGGCAGTATGAGCTGCCCCCGAAGCTGATGCTTCCTGACGACTGGGCCGCCACCCACTCGGGGCTTTGAAGCGGTCGCGGCTTGCTGTCTGGGAATTTTGGACCGTCTGATGGTAGTTGACGTGATTGGCGCATCCCGACGCGTCGAGACTGTCGGACCCAGGGTATTGGGCAAGATGATGATGTTTTTGAGAAACGAATACCGGGGGGGGGGGGGGGAGTCAAAAACCAAGAAAGGTTGCTCGTGAGGAGCTAAGAGCTGCTTGTTGTGAAGTGAAGAAGTGAGGGAAGTGGGTGAAGTGGGTGAAGTGAGGTGATATTACACAGTTCGGTATAAGTTCGTGTTATCATCAGCGGGTATTTGAATGAGTAGGTGGGATGAAGGGTGATCCAGCGAGTTTGTTAACAAGCAGGAGGAGGGCGCGGGGGGAGGTCAGGGGAGGTGAAAGATCCTTTTGGAGAGAAACGGATCGGGATCGACTAAACCGTCATGAGGCCATAAGGCAGAAACAGGCACACACGCATTGCAGCAGCTCGAGGTAATGGGATACGAGAAAGTAAACGAAAACACACTACCTGCATTTTCCATGTTGTTCGATAGATGGAGGGATACATACTCATACATACATACTTGTACATACTTATACATACATATACACATACATACATACCTACATACATACACATATACATACATAGAGCAACTTCTCAACGTCCCAACATCTCACAAGCAAACAGCAGCCAGCAATCCCACCTTCAGCATCGCGATTCAACCATTCCTTCCTCTCACTCGTTTGCGAAATAGCGAGCGAGCGAGCGAGCGTGTACGTAATTACCTAGGTAGGTGGAGAGGAACTCCCGTACAGTAGATAGATAAATGGATAGATGGATAGATAAATAGATAGATAGATAGATAGAGGCTTGCCTACCGGTACCGGTACTTGTGATGACGGGCGCTAAGGTAGGTACCGTGCTGGTATCGGTATGGAGAGCTGTGCGCTGAGTAAGCTAGGGGTCGTTTTTCGGTCTTCGGTTTTCTGTCTGGTTTTTCGCATTTTTCTATCCGTTCATCGTCTCATTCAAAGGGAGCAAAGGGAGCACAATCTCTCTCTTGAAGGACAGAACAGGACAGGTCAAGTCGCGAAAAACCCCGTTAAAAAAAAGAGAAGAAGAAAGAAGAAGGAAGGGGTTTGTATGAGACATAGTCCGTTGCGATCCGTGCGTGCGTGCGTAGATAGGTAGGTAGGTACCGGTAGGTACCGACCGGTAATACCTAGGTACAGTACAGTGGTACAGTAGGTACCGGTAGTACGGTCCTAATCGCCGACTCGGTGACCTCGCTTAACTTACTTACTCATGTAGTAGTAGGTACCGACTGCCCGCCCGCCCGCCCGCCCGCCTGCAAACCTACCTATCGGTATCGGTATCGGTATCACCCCGCCTCCCCCCCCCCCTCCTTCCCCAAACCTTCCTTCCTCAGAAAGTAGAAAATAGCACGTAGAAAGTAGCACGTAGATCGAATCAGGTCAGGTCAGGTCAGGTCAGGTCAGGTGGGGCATCCATTCATCCATCCATTCACTTTCCCACTTTCGCCTACTGCGTGCTCGGCGACATTGTGCACGTCTGCTCTCCTACCGGTATTTAGAGCTCCCTCCTCTTGCTTTCCCTTTCCCTTTCCCTTTCCCTTTCCCTTTCCTTTTCTTTTCTTTGAGTCCTCTGCTTCTTCTTCTTCTTCTTCTACTACTGCTACTTTGGCTTGCTTGTGCGAGGCGGAAAGGATAACGAGGATAAGGATAAGGATAACGAGGACGATAACGACGAGAGTACCAACGATAATACCAGCGCCATCGCCAAACACCAACACTACCAGAACAAACACTCGCCGCCCCCAGAAGCAAACGACAGACGGGGCAAACAGGCAAGGAAGAGCAGCAGAAACAGCAACCATGTGCATGAAAGCAACGTGCACCACCTGCCGTATGCCCATCCCATCTCTCCTCCCATCTCTCCCCTCTCATCTCTCATACCCATATCTCTTCTATTCATTTCATGTCTACAAAGGTAGATATATATATACACACATACACACAGGTACCAATCTACTAACACTCCAATGCGTACCTTAGAAAAGGCAACCTGGTGGGGCTGCGGCAGCCACATCCCGTCCGTCATGGACGCCATTCCTGCGGCGGAGCGGTGTACTGTATGTCCCTCCCCCTTTCCTCCCCCTTTCCTCCCCCTTTCCTCCCTCTCGTCATATACGTATGTGAGATGTACTCACGAGGTGAGATGATACAGTGCGAGCCCAAGGTCAAGGTGGACGGCAAGGAGTACCCGCCCAAGGGAGCGGCTGCGAGTTGACTAGCCGGCCCGGTGGTGGGCGCTCTGGGCCGCGTTTGGGGCTGGGTTGCGGGGGGTGGGGGGAAGGGGGATGGGGGGAAGGAGAGGAAGGGGGAGTTGTGAGTGAGGTGGTGTGAGTGAGGCGGCGGTTGGGTTTGGCGTGGGTCTGGCTTGATTCTGGGATGCAGAGGAGTTGAACGGGTGGAAGCTCTCTAGAGAGGGTCCGGGGTGTATCACCAAACAAGGAAATGCAGTGGATTTTTGCTGAACGTGGAATCGACGGAGAAGGGATGGGGACGCGTTCCTTCTCTTGAGGACTAGATCTTGCTCCTCTTCAAACCGTCCTCTCTGATACTGGACGCGTTACTTCTATTGAGCACTAGATCTTGCTCCCCTTCAGAAACTGTCCCCTCTGATACTGTTGTGGCCATTGCACTTTGAGACCCAGTCGATGAGCAACCCGCAACACCCACTCCGGCTCTCTCAGGAATTGTCGCCCGACCAACACGACATCCGCCTTTGCCAACCCGCCATTCTCGTCCGTAATCTCAATGGTATCTTCGCTCTTCTCCAGAATGCTCTTCGCAACTTCAGCCTCGGTAATCATGCCCACAGCACCAATCAGCAGATCCGTGATACCCGCTCCGTGAAGCTCCTTTCGAATCCTAGCCGCAAGCCCGACCTGGTAGTCATTGAACACCTCGACCGTCTGCCGCTCGCAGTTCCCACCCGAGCTCACATCCAACAGGTCAACCCCCAGCGCCGGCAGGATCTTCGCCAACCGAATCGTCGACTCCACATCCCAACTCTCCCCCGTCTTCCCCTCCATCCACTCCGTCGCACTAACCCGTACCAGCAGCGGCATCCCCCGCGGGATGGCCCCCCGCACCGCCTGCACCACCTCCAGCAGCAGCCTCGCCCGATTCTCGAAACTGCCGCCGTACGCATCCGTCCGCCGGTTCGAGATCGGGCTCAGAAACGAGCAGAGCAGGTACCCGTGCGCGGCGTGGATCTCGAGGACGTCCACGCCCGCCTCGACCGCCCGCCGCGCCCCCTCCCGGAAGCCGTCCACCACGTCCTGCACGTCGCGCACGCTCATCGCGCGCGGCGTCGCGTACCCGTCGCCCCAGCCGATGGCGCTGGGCCCGACCACGTCGGTGGGCCAGCCGTTTTGATCGGTCGCCGCGAGGGCCTTCTCGCCGCGCGCGAGCAGCCAGGGGGCGAGCGTGCTGGCTTTGCGGCCGGCGTGCGCGAGTTGCAGGCCGAGCTTTTGGTTCTGGGAGTGGACGAAGGCGGCGATGCGTTGGATGGGGGCGATTTGGGAGTCTTGCCAGAGGCCGGCGTCTTCGGGGGAGATGCGGCCGTTGGGCTATCGGGAGGAGGAGGAAAGGTTAGCGAGGGAACGTGTACGGCTTGCGGTCTTTGGGAGGGGGCTTGGCTGGCTACTGACTAGGACGGCTGTGGCTTCGATGATGGTGAGGGAGGCGCCGCGGAAGGCGAAGGCGGAGAGGTGGGCGAGGTGGAAGTCTGTGAGGTGTCCGTTGGAGGCTGAGTACATGCACATTGGGGCGACCCCTTGGTGGTTGTAAGCATGGCTATCAATCGGGGTAGAGAGAGGGAAGGGTAAGTAAGTAAGGGGGGAGCTTGAAGATGCTTCGGAATAGAAGCAGAAGATAGATAGATAGGTCGATAAGGCACGCACAAATTCTATTCTGGAACGTCACATCTCTGATCTTCAAAGGCGAGAAGAGCGTCGGCGGGTTGGGACTGAGAGCGGTGCCTACCGGCGGGTCCTGGACAGGTGTGAAGAAGGGAGCTCCTGGCGCTGGTCTGTTGCGTTTGGCCATCGTTGCGAACAGTGCCTAGATCTTCTTTCTTACTTTCATGGGAGCGCGAGTTGAGGGATGTGAAGTCCGTAGACTTTGAAGAATCGGATCTGCCAAGGAGAAACCTTTGTGGTGCGGGATACGATACCGAGGATTATATATGTCGCACGGAACTGGTATGTAATTATTCTGCCCCCCTTACCCCACCCCGAAGATGACCCATTGAGAGTGACATTAAACTTCCTGGGAAGCGGTGGTAATCGAGCCGCTAGCGGCCGAGACACACGACCTACCGCTTTAGATAATACCTCACGACGCTATCCGTAGAACGGCTACGGGACGGTCCTCGTCTTTTTCGATAAGACAGTTTATTAGCTTAGCTAAGCTGTTTTCGAATAGATTAGAGAAAAGTAGGTAGGTATTGATTTTTTTAAAGAAAAGGGTCTAATTAATGGCCGTTTTTTTTTTTTTGGGTAAAAGAAGGTTGGAGAGAGAGGATTGCTGAAATGACCCCTTCCCTACCTGCTTTTTAGGTACTCGAGCTAGATGTGACGCTGGCTGTATAGAGGGCGGAGGGCTAGCGGCTTTGGAATGGGAAGGAGGAAAAGGGGGAGGAAGAGAGGCAGGGAGTCGCAGCGTTGTTTACAGTAATCGATTGTGGAAGGTAAAATAGAAGCGCAGATGATTGGAACAACCAAGGGCCAAGAAGTAAGGGTTTCTGCAGCAGTATCGAGGAAAAAAAATGCCGGCTGCTAAATGTAGAACGTTGTTAGATAGTGGGATTCGAATTACTTAAGGTTTAAGCTTTTTTAAAAGGATCTTTATACGTAGTAGCTTTGGAGTTTGCTCAAGATGATAGGTAGGGTGTGGCGGGGCTGGATGGACCCTTTCTGGTAGAGCTTTTTTCGTTATCATTATTGTTGTTGTTGTTGTATTTATTAACGTCGGGCGGGTATCCAAAACGCAATGCTTGGACCCTGGGGACCTCCCATGGGGTACGGCGACGTGCTAAGTAGAGGAATTATATACAAAGTACTATCTAATCGAGAGTAAAAACCACGTTGGGGAAAACCTCTCGTCAAATAGCTGGACACCTGTAAACCCCCTAAAAGCAATTCATAGTGATGTGCGTCGAGTTTTCTCTCGACAACTGTCGAATACGTGTGGCCCTACGAGCGGCCTCGATCCGTATAGTACAAACATCGTTCTCTTTCGTCGTAGAGCTAAGAAGGCTCGCGTTCGTAGCCCTTAAATAGAGCCGGTGTGTTTGTAGAACGCTCTTTCGAAGGCTTTCGTTATCATTAGAGATGTGGAAAGCCCGGCTTATGAATAAATTCAAATTCTTGAATGAGAAGTAGGATCTGTTGAAGAAGTCAACCCTCGCGCCTCGAACCAATATATTGACCGAGTATGAATGAGTTGACAGTAAAGAATTACCGACAGCAGATTTACCAAAGGGAGAAACTTTATCCGTTTAGCACGCCCTCGTATAGTACCCCGTAAGGTTTCCCTTCGCAAGGAGACATAGAAAAATCAGAAAGAAAGAAAAAGTGGGGGGGGGGGGAAGATAACTATACGCGAATGTTGTTGCATATCATCCGCGCTCTTATCTTATCGTCCGCCCATTAATTTCCTTCAACCTGTAATATCTCGTGCCTTTTAAGATGACCGCTCGTCTTGCCTCAAATGCGGATGTATCTGCCGCTAGATCTCACTTCAAGCACGTAACGAAGCCAAACCAAATCAATTCAATCTGCGAAGGCTATCGCAATCTATATAGACCCCCCCCCCATTTCGAGAAATAAATGGTTGTGATCACCCAGAAAGCGCAAAGCGGAAGCTGGCTGAATATAACAGCCCAGATCCAGTTCTTCTGCACGGATGAGAAGCCGCTTTTCTAGCGGAGGGGAGGAGCTATGACATACTTTTTTTGCTTACTCGAATATGAAATTCATCTTTGGAATTACAGCCTCAGGCTTGGTAGCTTTAAGGGGGAAAAAATATGAGAGTGGAAAGAATGCTCGAGATGAATAAATTGCTGTGCCTTGTGTGTGATTCACTCGCTTGGTCCTTCTTGGTCACCGTGCGCTCGGGGACGAGGATTATATATAAGAGGAGGCATATGGGGACAGTAGGGAGTTTGATCAAGCTTCTAGAATTCTACACTCGACAATATGATGGATTGGTACTTGCTACGGGGAATAGCAGTGGTGGTAGTAGTGGTGGTGGTAGTAGTGGTGGTGGTAGTAGTAGTGGTGGTGTAGTAGTAGTAGTAGTAGTAGTAGTAGTAGTAGTAGTAGTAGTAGTAGTAGTAGTAGTAGTAGTAGTAGTAGTAGTAGTAGTAGTAGTAGTAGTAGTTGTTGTTGTTGTTGTTGTTGTTGTTGTTGTTGTTGGTAAATCATAGGGGGTTTGATAGACTAGTCTGATCGGGTTTGTTGGGTTATATTGTTGATGGTTGTGGTCGGTGGAAGAGGGCCCATTGGTCGTGTGTGTAGCGTAGGTGTAGCTGGTGCAACTGGCGCAATTGGCACAACTGGCGGAGGTAGTGTAGATGCAAGTGTAATAGATGTTATTGTGCCGAAGACTCCTTTACCTTTCTGCTCGTACGCAATTCTCTTTGCCTCCTTGATCTCTTGTTCCTTGATAAATTACTTGCCTAGCTGCCTTATGTTCTGGAGTCCAGGGCTCAAGTGTATCCTCTTGGACTAAGGCATGAAAGATCGAGGCCTAAGAGTGTCTCTTGGCTGGTTTGCACCATACTCTATATAAGACGAGGTGCTCTCGGAGTTGATGGCAGGCAGATCGATGTGCATGTCTCCAAATCTCTGATGTCCATCCGTTGAAGTCATCTAAGAAGGCTTCTAAGAGGGATTCGCCTTTTTTTCCTGCATAAGTGTGTTTTTAACTCTCTAAACACATCGTAATGTATTCATTGACTGTGGGTGAATGGAGAACCTGCTCGGCATCATTGATGTCGAAATCGTCCCCCTAAGTTGCTACATTAACGCTGTACCCTAAGCCTGTCGGGATAGGTCGAACAGACGCTGTAGTGGTGTTGTGTGAGCGTTGCGATTGCAGCGAGGGATGGCGAGAGTGATATGCTGACTGACTGACTTGCCAACATGTTTGTGGCTGCGTGGTAAGGTGAGGTGGTGTAGTTCGAGGAGTTCGAGGAGTTCGAGTTTGTATGTGGTAATAACCACAGATTCGCAAGGTTCCAGAAAATTCAAATTGAGTCAGGGGCATTCATTCATTGATTTGCCGCCAACCCTGAATTTGAGCTAAAGGTTACCTACAACTGGTAACAGCCAGGTAACCCAGGAATTGGACAACTTCGAGAGAAGAACTAATTCGCGTCCATCACGCACAAAGAGAAGAAGCAGGAAACAGACAACTTCGAAAAAAGAACTATTACCTAATTCCTATCACTCGAACTGTTTTCTAGGCATCATTGCCAGCAGTTCTCCGCCTACCCTCCCACTAACACTCAAATCAGCTCCCTCACATACAGATTCGGAAATCCCTACCTACCTCACATACAAACCCGATCAGACTAGTCTATCAAACCCCTTGTGATTTACCAACAGTAGTAATAGTAGTAGTAGTAGTAGTAGTAGTAGTATTGATTTGCGTGGGAGGGTAGCTCATCAATTGTTCACTAGAGCTCTGCGTCGGGCGGGTGGCAGGCGAAGCCTGCCGCCCTGGGACCTCCTATGGGTACGGCGACGTGCTAAGCTAAGGAATCATATACAAGCTGTGTGGGATGAGTACACAAATAGGAGGTTATAGATAAACGCATACAGAGCGATAATGCTCGTGGAGAAGTTGAACCATGTTTTGTGAACCAGGTTCACGACGATGGGCTTGAAACTTGCTTAAGACTTGAGGTTAATCAAATTACAGTGGTAGAGTCTTGGAATAAATGACAGCAATAATTGAGATGACAGCAATAAAGTCAATCCTTGGTATGCAAGAGGGCTGGCGCCCTCCTGACTTAGTCATTGCAAGTCTTTCTCTTTTTCTCTCTCCTCTTCCTGCCTTGCAGCTCCTTCAGGAAGGTCTTCACACGTAAGGCAAAAAATGAACAAAAAATAAATCATTCTGAATAATCCGGAAAGCGAGGCTTTTAAAGAAAGGGTTCTTTTTTTGCAGTTTAAATTCTTATTCTTGACAATCGACAGTGAATGAATAAGTACGAGAAATAAAGGAAGGAAGGGATGAAAAGATGAAAATATCTTTTTGAATTGCGAATCTGTATCATAAGATAGAAGGAGTGCTTCGTAGAAATAATTACTTGTATGTATAAAGACGAGCTGATTAGATATCAGGTAGGAGGGTAATAAAGATAGATGACTTTATGGAAAGGCTGGGAAAAGGTGATGGAAGTATAATTATCATTTTTTTATGTGTCTGTTTTTAGAGTTGCGAAAGGAAAAACATCGAAGATTCTTTGAGTAAAGCACGAACGAACCCTGATGATGTCTCAAAAGAGTGCCGAAATGGGGTTGTGTTGTTTTCTTTCTGTTGTGTTCGCGGGTTGTCGTCGATCGGGTATTCATGGCCGATTGCCGATTGCCGAGTCGCTTCATGAACTTGAATCGTTTGCTTGTCTGCCGGGCCGAAGTTGATGATATCTTGAGGCGGGAGGGATATCTGTCAGTTGATTCGTAAGTTAGTAGGGCTGGATTGGGAAGATTTGGCCGACCCAGATAGATGGCCCAAGACTTCTTCATTCTCAAGATTGGATCGTCAGCCAGCTAAAGACTATTGCATAAAAAAAATCCAGATTCCATACAATCTACCAATCAATGAAGTGAAATGAAGTGGAAACGGTATCTTGCACGGGCCGAGGCTCTTTGTTAACGGCTATCTTTCTTTAATCAGAAGACCGGGATTGATTTCTTTGACGGGTGCGCTTCTTCCGTTTTTGACGGGGCGGGGCACAGGAGATGGGTGGCTGATCGGTGGCTGATCGGTGGCTGGCCTTCTGGAATGCTAACTGACCTTCCCACGCGAGCGGTGGTGGAGTGGTGTGCAGGGGAGGAGATAACGGGCATAGATACCAACCAAGCTGACGGGCGATACATGTCGATTTGAAATGCAGAGGCAAAACTGATTTCATTTCTCGGGGCGTACTGTTCGGCACGTGAGGAGGATAGCTGAACTGAGTGTGAGCGGCTGCTATGTGTGTATAGCTGGGAGATACGGAGGATGTGGGTGGCTGTCGTGTTTCGTTGGTTGGTTGTTTACAACGTTGCTCGCTTACGTAAGCGATGTTTTGATACGACCCGCCCCACAGGATCGACTGTAGTGGTTGCCTCGGATATGGATCTCTATCTGGGGTCATCTTGTTGAGGATGAATAATATCTACATCTACCATCCCGTTCATCGAATATATATACATAAATATACTTTCATACGTGCATTACCGACTGTCGTCTCCTCAAGCGTCCCAAGCTTTGCCACGGTCTGCCCACGCCCGCTTGTTCGTGGCCGGCGTCTTTCTTGTCGTTGCTTGCATGCCGCGGCACGCCTCCGTGGGCCATGGCATGGCTGCAAGTGGAAGGTGTGGCCGGGGAGCGGCCGAGATAAGGTAGGGAATTAGTTAAGGGAATTGACCAATGGAGATGGTCCTCCCTTTCCCCAAAAAAGGAAGTGACACGAGCTTGTCAGCAAATCTTCTGGAAGATTGATTGTTCGTATCTTGGCCTGCATCATTACCTTCCCAGCGCGGGGGGGGAACACGGGACATGGAGCTGAGATGGAGCTGAGCTGAGCTGAGCCGAGCTAAGTTGAGATGTACAACTGTATGTAAGAGGAGGAGGAGGAGGATATCCATCTATCAGTCAGTCGGTCAGTCAATATGTATATGATGTATATATCATATACGATGTATGAGTAACTTCTCTCCTACCCTTTTTCTCTCTCTTTCTTTCTCTCTCTCTTTCTTCCCTCGTACCCTGTGCCACCAACAAACAGCCCACTCCCTCACTCCCTCACTCACTGATAGGGTACTCGTTCGCAATTGGACCCCCCAGTGCTGCAGTACGACTCGCATAAGTACTCACTCGATCCCCCCCTCTTGCGACACCTCTCCTCATTTTGTCGACTTCAACCACCACCATCCATCTGCCGTCGCGAGTGGCAAGACAAACAAAACATAATGGGTATGTATTATAGGGATCCAATTCATCCATGGGCTACATTCCACAAATTCCATTGCATACATTCCATTCCATCATAACAGAGCTCGGCTAACTGAACAGCGGCCAATATCGTGGTCGACGTCAACACCACCCTGCCCGGCTCAGGAACCGCGGCGCACCTCGACGTCGATGGGAGGCATTCTATGGTCGTGGCCGAGCCCGACCGGCCCCATGTCGGCTCGCACGTGAACGAGCCCACCGAGGAGGAGCGCCACACCCTGCGCCGTATCCCCGGTGCTGTCCCGATGATCGCGTACGCGCTCTGCTTCGTCGAGCTTGCCGAGCGAGCCTCCTACTACGGAGTCCAGCCCTTGATCGGGAACTTTGTCAACCGCAAGATGCCCGTCGGCGGCAACGGCTACGGGGCACCGAAGCGAGGAACCCAAGATACCGCGGGCGCGCTCGGAATGGGCACCGTCAAGTCCACCGCCGTCTCGCAATCCTTCTCCATGCTAGTCTACGCGCTCCCGGTCTTCTTCGGCTGGTTAGCCGATACGAAGACGGGTCGCTATAACATGGTCTTCTGGGGTGTCATTGTATGCGGTGTTGCCCACGTGCTCATGATTGGGGCCGGCGCCCCTTCGCTCTTGGCCAACGGCAATGCCAAAATCCCCTACTTCATCTCGCTGTACATGCTGGCTCTGGGTGCTGGTAAGCGAGCCCGCACGTGATGACAATAGCTCCTCTCGCTAACGTGTTCGAACCCACCAGCCATGTTCAAGCCCTGTATCTCTCCCATGCTGTTGGATCAGATGAAGGAGACCCGGCTCACGACGAAGGTCCTTGATACGGGCGAGAAGGTCTTGATCGACCCAGAGGCGACCACCGAGCGGGTCATGCTCTGGTTCTACCTCATGGTCAATATCGGGGGCTTCTTCAACGTCGCAACCTCCTACTCCGAGAAGTATGTCGGATGGTGCCTAGCATTCGGCCTTCCGCTCATCGTCTACCTCCCCTTGCCGGCCATGCTCGTGCTCCTTAAGAAGAAGCTCGTGATTAAGCCGCCGGGAGGAAGCGATCTCGGAAACGTCTTCAAGATTCTCGGCCTCTGCTTCCGCCGAGGCGGGCTGGTCAAGATGTTCAAACGCAACGGAGGGTTCTTCGAGGCCGCGAAGCCATCCAACATTGCGGTATCTGGCGCACCCGTTGCGGTCCCGTGGAACGACCAGTTCGTCGACGACGTGCGGCGTGCCTTCTTGGCCACGGGAATCTTCATGTTCTTTCCGATCCAGAGCATTAACGATAACGGCCTCGGAGGGGCCCAATCCGCTCTGACGACCATGCTGAGGACGAACGGTGTCCCGAACGATGTCATCAACAATATCAACCCCTTCGCCATCATCATTTGTGCCCCAATCCTCAACTACGTCCTCTACCCCTTCCTCCGCAAGCGCGGAATTCACTTCGGGAACATCGCCCGTATCACCCTCGGCCTCGCCATGTCCGCCACCGGCGCCATCGGCTACACGGTCATCACTTATTACGCCTATAAGGACGGCCCCTGCGGGGACCGCGGCTCCAGCAGCTCGTGCGTCGACGATAATGGCAATGCCCTTGTCGCTAATATCACTATCTGGTGGACGGCTGTCCCCGTCGCCATCGGCGCCATTTCGGAGCTCTTCGTCAACATCCCGGCCTTCGGCATGGCCTACTCCATGGCGCCCACGAACATGCGCGGCCTCGTCTCCGGCATGAACCTGATGTCGTCGGCCATCGCCTACGCCTTCGGCCTCGCCTTCGCCGGCGTCATCAAGGACCCCTTCCTGATCTGGGTCTTTGGCGGGCCCTCCATCGTCGGCTTCGTCGCCGCCGCCGTCTTCTGGTGGCTGTACCGCGACCTCAACCACGACGAGTACAACCTGTCCGAGAACGTCTACGACGCCAAGCTCCGCCGCGAGGATGCCGTGGCTCGGGAGGTGGCTAGCGAGGGCGAGAGCGTGGATGAGAAGAAGGGCTTTCGGGACGAGGAGACTCCCGCAGCGTCGAAAGAGGTGCATGCTTAGCTTAGCTGCTTTGTACGCGGTAGATGTGAAGGTATCTTGTTCTTATGCGTGTATGATGATGGGATTATATAGAAGAGCTCTTCTCTTCGTTCTTTCCGGAACAAGAGGGGATTAATAAAAGGGGGGGGGAGGGGGCTATATTCGCTTGATTTGATTTGATTTCGCAACGCTATATGAATGATACCTCTTGTTCCTTTTTTTTCCACGGCTCTGCTGCCTACTAGGATACAGTTTTTTTCTCCTTTCTATGGCTTATCTCGACCTTTTTCCCGTATCATTTACTTTTCATCGCTTAGCTATTATCACTCTAATACATACCTAATAACCAGCTTCTAACTAATCCATATGCTGAAAAATCCCGCTTTGTGAAACCCGCCTCGTTGCGCCAGAAATGTGGAGCAAGGATGCTGTGGCTCGTGCTCGTACTCGTACCTACTCGTACCTACTCGTGTAAGGGTGTGGCTGAAGCTCCCCTGGATCTACCACCATTGATAACCTTCGCGTCGACATCAACATACCCCCAATAGTCCACCATCTGCTTTTCCAGCTTGATGCGGCCACGATGGCTTCCTCTCAGGCGTGCCAATTGGTTGAAGCCGCAATGCATCCAGCGGCGGAGGTTGTTGACCCTCGCCATCGAGGTAGGATCAAACTTTATTGTCGAATAGACCGGATACTAACCTGGCAAACATAGACCTCCTGTGATGATACCAGCGTCGCCGTCCTTGCTACGGGCAAAAACGGTTACGCTGATCTGCTCTTCCATGAAAGAATCACTTCCGACAACCGAGCGTACGGGGGTGTTCACCCTATTGCTGCTCACGAATCCCACCAGAAGAATCTCTCCTCGCTGATCCGCCAGGCTCTGCAGAAGCTCCCTCGATTTACGAAAAAGGGCCTTCTCAGAAATTCTCTGGTGGTCGATCACGAAGGGAAAGAAGGAACTGTCGTCAGACAGAAGCCTGACTTCATCACTGTCACTCGAGGGCCTGGCATGCGCGCGAGTCTTTTGACTGGCATCGACACGGCCAAGGGGTTGGCCGTAGCATGGCAGATACCTCTCTTAGGCGTCAATCATATGCAGGCACATGCACTGACCGCGCGATTCGTCGCTGCTACCCAGACAACTTCCCCAAATACCGTACCAGTATACAGTCCAGCGTTTCCATTCCTCACGCTGCTGGTCTCTGGTACGTATGTCATGGGGGAGAACCTCTTATCCTTCGCCCATAACTCTCCTGGTCACCCAAACACTGATTCTTCTGGGTCCTACAGGCGGCCATACAATGCTAGTACACTCGAAGGCTCTATGTATCCACGAGATCTTAGCCAATACGACAGATATCGCTATTGGAGACATGATTGACAAGTGCGCGAGGGATATTTTGCCTAATTCGGTTCTTGACGGCGCCAAAGATGTCATGTAGTAGGTAGCGAGAGGCTCTTTTTACCATCTCAGGACACATTATCCTCTCCTGCTTCTATTCCATCCCCCTCTTCACGTGATCTTATCTGACTTTCCTGCCCCTCCAGCGGAGTGCTGCTCGAGAAATTTGCATTTCCCTACGATCCGAAAAACGGCCAGGGATATAAGTACTCTCCGCCGAAATCGTTCACCAGCCCGCGGCTTGCTAGAGAGCATGGCTACGATTGGGCAATCAACCCGCCATATTCGACGCCGGGCCCTACTGGGCCCATAAAGTACGCAGATTGCTTCACCTACTCCGGTATTGGAAGTTTCGCGAAGTACCTCGTAGGCCAACGTCCCAACATGGACGATAGAGAGCGACGAGCTCTTGCCGAACTCACCATGACAGTAGCATTCGAGCATCTTGCGTCTCGGGTACTCTTTGCGCTCGAAAGGCCTGAGATGGAAGGTGTCGCTCAGCTGGTTGTCTCGGGCGGAGTGGCAAGTAATCAGTTCCTCAAAGCAATACTGAGAACAATCTTGGATGCAAAGGGCTACGAGAAAGTGAGGTTGGTGTTCCCGCCACCAAAGTTCTGTACGGATAACGCGGCGATGATTGCATGGACTGGTATCGAGATGTACGAGGCGGGATGGAGGACAAGTCTGGAAGCGACTGCCGTGAAAAAATGGGCCATCGACCCGAAAGCTGATGATGGAGGGATACTGGGCGTCGATGGCTGGGAGAAAGTTGAATCTGTACCCGTGGAAGTAAACACCTAAAGATTTGACGTCAGGAGAAAATCCATGGAGACACCGATATCCACTGAGCTTTTCTCTCTCCTAACCCTTCGTACTGACATTCGCCATCGGGTTTGGAGTGTGGTTCTCAGCAACCTAGACATCCATCGCACCAATTCTCTCTCCACATCCAGGCTCATTTCCGAGAAACTATTCCTTGACTAGTATCAGCATCTTCTTTTCCTTTCCCCTAGCTTGCAAACAGCTGTACTGCTACTACTTGTCCAGTCCCCTCGCCACCCCCCACCTTCCTCGTCAATGCGGTTGCAGGGTCTATGTTTAGGTTTAAAGTGTGTGCTTTTGGAAGAGAGTGAGATATACATTGAGAGAGTATCGTAATAGGGCGGTTGCTGGCTCCTAGTAATAGCTTGCATAGGATGTTTGTGTTGAGTAGAAGGATAGATAGGTGATTTGAAGTCGACTGAATGATGCCTTGTAAGTTGTTTGGAGTTAGAAAGGCAAGTACATCATCACTTAAAGATGTTTCAAGCTTTCGTGACGACAGGCTTCCAAGTATTGGAATCAGGCATGTTCTGAGACTCTTCTCGGGGACTGTAAAATTCATGGGAAGAAGGAGAGATTAGCTATTATCACTCGACGTGGAACTGAAAGGCAAGTTAGGGGAGGTGGTGGGTTCAGCTTATGCTAAGCTGCCTTTATTGCCTTTTTCAACAACAACAGGCCTACGTTGAAGGTATGCTGCATGCCGAAACAATCAGATCCAGGAAAAGAATTTTTGGTGCTCTGGAATCAGGGAGGGTTTTAATTCTGATGAGCAAATAAGTTGAGATCATGCGCTTCCTGATGCTCTTTGTCGTGGGCATGTGTGATATGCCAGGAACTCTGCGGATTCTGCACCTGTGAGCAAACGAGCAAACACTGGTGCAGGAGGAATGATATATGTAAATAACAAGGAGGATATAAAGATAAGAAGCGCAGCTTTCCTAGAAACTTATCTCGTTGTGGGATCAGGTTTGATGACACTTGATATCTGCTCTTTGGGAGAGATCCGACCTATGGCTCGTTCCGTGCTCCTCGCCCAGCATCGAACTTGGATATTTTGTATAGTGAGTGATAGGTTAATAGATGCGGTGTTACAGGCGGTTTAGATAAAGACTTCTCTGGGCTATCTACTTTTGATACGGTGCAAGAGATATTAAATGATATGGGTATACATTTACTATAATATACCATGGGCCAGCTCTGTCGTTGACTGTTTTATAAAAGCGACTGGGTCTCTGCTCCAGGCATGCGTCTCCTTCTTGTCAATTCCGGCCTTTGGTCTATATCCTTCAGAGGCAATCGATTTCGGGAGAGGTATACGCAGAAGAAGAGTCTCGTGCGCCATGCTACGCTCCTGGAAGGGCCAAAGAAAAGGACGAAGCAAACTTGTAAATAGTTAAGGTGAATGGACCTTTGTTTATAGTACAGGAATCTGAGCTTAATCTTCATCTTCTGCTGCGGCGCAGGTACTTTGTTGCAATTCACTGCTTGTCTCGGGCTGCCTTCTCGCACTACGAGATATGTTGGTAGCCAGCAGCATAAAGGGGCTCACTTTCGACTTCGTCGACCTCCTTCCTAAACAACAACACAACAATACTACAACAACACAACAATACCACAACATCACACTTCCGCCTCACCCCGCCATCTATCCACCGCAACGCATCGACGCATAACAACTCCTGCGCTGACTTTAATACTTCTTTGCTGGTTCTGCGAGAGTTACTGCTGTACATCTTCATTCTTGCGATCGGCTGTAGCTGTCTTCTTCTAAACTACGCGCTTCCCAGCACCTCACTTGGTCGTGGTCAAAGCAATCGACGCGCTTGAAGAAACCCACTTGGAAGGTCTTACTCTTGTACGCCGCGGTCTTTCAAATTACAAACTTGTAAGTGCTATCCATCTGTATCGACGCGTTCTATCGCATCATGATATTGAGTCCGGCTTTCGATATCTGCGTTTCCTTTTCGCTACCTCCTTAATACTGACTTACATCCCATCGCGTATTGATCTGAATGATATGACCCAAACTGATTATCATTATTCATTCTAGGTTCCGAATCCACCTCCAAGCTACTCTTTCGATCTTACGATACACCCTCCAGACGTTCAATATGTCGGCTGCCAACAAGAACACTGGATCTCAACAGACCAATGGTGGAACTTCCAATGCTCCAACCGCTCGCAGTTATAGTGCATTTGAGCTCGATGTTGCTGCCACTTTAGCTAGCATGGGGGCGATCACAGCTAATCGAGCAACAACACCATCGCTCGCGGCAGCAGGCACAAGTTCAACAACTCTCGACGAAGCAACTGTCCTTGCTAGTCCTCCTGCCTCCCAACAGCCAGATACGGCTGCTTCCGTTACTAGCAATACCCCCGTCGCCAAAACGAACCCCAAACGCCAAATAAAGAAGGCGAAGAAGCCAGCTGACGACGACACCTCTGGCATCGAGCCACCACCGAATACTCCCGCCTCTTCTCCTCCCACATCGCCAGCTCGAGAGAGCGTTACCGCTGCGCGCTGCCTCCAACTAGAGGCCGGTGTCCGTGACTTAGTTTCCGATCTTGGTCTCCTGAAGGTAGGTTACATAAAGCCTATTCCAAAACCCCGAGCGAAAAGAACTAACTTGACAATCCAGGGAGTCTTCTTGGACTACGCCACCCCCGCCGATGCCAACCACCGCGCCGTCAGCGAAGCTGGCTACGACTCTCTTGGTTCCCTGTTCGTCTTGGAGGACGAGATCAAGCAGCTGCTCCGCCGGGTGCAGGAGCGCGAGCAGGGAGAGGAAGGGGAGGAGACCCAAGCCGAGTACGACGAGGGGGAGGAGTTCGGCCAGCTGGACGGCCGCTTCCAGGCTGCGCTCACTGCCATCACGGCTCTCCGGGTCAAGCTGGAAGGCGCGGACGAGAATGTGGCGGCCGGCCTGCTGCAGGCTGGCGACGTTCAGTACAAGCTGATCGGCACCAAGCCGAAGACGAACGTCGTTGGGAAGCACCACCACCCCCACATCACGGCCAGCGCTCCGCCAACGCCCGCCAACGAGCCGTCGGTCGGGCCTGCTCCTCCTGCTCCTGCTCCGGCTCCGGCTTCCCAGAAGCGCCGCTCTGGGGAGGAGATTGATCGGGAGATTGCCCGCAAGCGGGCCAAGATGCAGGATCTGGAGGACGAGATCTACAACCTGCGCAAGGAGAAGGAGGGCTTAGCGCAACCAATGTAAACGGGGGGGGGGGTGTTTTCCCGGTTGTCTTCTTCTTCTTCTTCTTCCTCCTCTCCTTCGGCATTCGGAAATTTGTATGGGAGTTTGTAGCTTTCACTTGTAAAAAAGAAAGTTGTTAATGTATCTCGTGACTACCGCAAGTGTGAATCCCCATGCGCATATTTGTGAGTCTTTTGACTTGAAGCCGATCGGATATTGACTTTTTCCCCTCCCCCGCCCCCCTTTTAGCTATAATCTGATCCAAAGCCCCAGCCCAAGCCGAGGTGTTAGTTAACTGGGACTTTCTGCCCCAGGCCATCAGGCCCGGCCTGACTCCCCAATTCAGCATATCGATCTCCACTTCAAATTGCCCAGTCTAACGGTTAAACCTTTAAAACAATATAGATGTAGCCTATTCTATCACTTGATGGTAGATTGATCACCACGCTATCAGTAATACATTGTAGATCTCAAATACTACCACGACATCCAAATGCTTGACGCAATTAGTATTTACCCGTTGATTAAGGCCAAGATTTTTGCCGACGTGAGGAAGATGGATATCCTTTTGTCAAGGAATGGCCCTTTCTAGCCCCACCACTTGCTCATGTATTCTTGTTGCTGCTAGCTTCTTGGTTGAAGTTCCGCTAAGTCAATATTTTTCTATATGATTTAGCGGTAGAGGTATAAGTGCGGAAGAAATTGTAGAAGAAAAAGAATTCACGTTCAACGCGTCAGTGTAGCCAGTAATGGCCGGCGACTGCACCTGATGTGTTGAGCCGAGGCTTCAATTAAGCAAGCGTAGAGCAACTTGGTTCAATTTGAGGAATTTATTCGAAATGTCGAGGAACACTCTCGACGCAGATGGAGGGGGGAAACCTGGTGCCCTCATGGATTTGGATCACTGGGGCAATTTGGAGTTGGATGCGGATGAGTGAATGAACCTAGACTATAGTGTACAATTTTCAGCTTCCAGCTTGCTCTGATAGACTCTAGCTCTCTCAAGTAGACGAGATGTGGGAGGGGGTAGCTATCAATGATCTACTTCACCAGGCCGGCTCGAGCAAAGTAGCATTTGTCGCGATATTGTTCTTTGAAAAATACCTTTTCCAACTACCATGTCACTCAGCTAAAAGAAAGCTTCTGTAGAATGAGCTCTCCAAATATAAGATGCTTGAACTCCATGACGACATTGAGATCAAGTATGGAACAGGGAAAATATGGAAGCGAAGTAGATATTGCTTAAAGAGACTCATTGTGAGAACGATCTAATGTTGAAATACAGTCTTATTATTCTATGCTACTTAGTAGAAGTGGATGGTGGAGTCTTGGAGACCGCTTCAAAGTTGAAGATTCAGAGTATGCAGGGGTTGTGATGCGGGATAAAGCGAATTATGATGGCCGAAAAGGCCGCTGCATGGGCTGCGCATGACAAGAAGAAGAAGAAGAAGGAGGTGGAGGAGGAGGAGGAGGAGGAGGAGGAGGAGGGCTTGTGAAGTACGAAAGGCGATGAGTCGAACTGCAGTAAGAAAGCTCAAGCAGTTTCAGAAAGTCACCCTAACCTTTGGGGCAGGTGATATCTGGATGCTATAGCAGCAGCTCGCAGATGCTCAAAAGAAGTTGAGCGATCTGGAGCAGGGAGACCTTGCCAAGAAACTCCGGAGAGCCGAGGACCAAATCCAGTAGAACGATACGGAGGTCTCGAAGTTGAAGGGCGAGAACACGACGCTGAGATTTGGAAGCCTTACCGATAAAAACGAAATCAGATCCTTGAACGAAGACATGAAGGAACTTCAGACGAATGTGGCGCAACTACGAGCCAAGGTTGATAGACATGAGAGACAGGAAGCAGAGGGAGACCCGGGCGACGATCGCGGCAACGATGACAGCTCTTCCAGTAAGGATTCAGAGGAGGGCCAATACCTGCGAGATGTAGAGCAGATCTTCGAGCACCAGGCACATGGACCGAGCGACGAGCGAAACGGCGAGACGTGGCTGTCAGACATCAATTTGGATTCCGAGCATATGCAGTGGGATGGTCTCATAGAAGACATGGCCATGGATATCATACAGAGTGCTGATTATGACGCAGCGGACGAAGAGTCTACCCAGAGGCTTCCAACATGCCAATGGTTTCAGAACACCCACGAGATCAACGACGAAAATAGCGACTACAGCCGCAGCGATAACAGCGACAGAATGAGCGGCAGTGATAACGATATCAACGCTCGAACAAGATCTGCACGATATACCTCCAGCTTTGGTCTGATCGGTATATTTTGAATGTCTGATCGGTATATTTTGAATGAGTTGGAGTGGTGTGCATATCGACTACAGTACTAGGCAACTGCTATTAGCCACTTAATCGAGAACATCAAAATCAGCATTAGACATTCAGCTATCACTTCTTAATTACGCAATAATTACAAATCCAAATCAAATAAAAAAATACTATTCGATTCTTTAGACTCTTTTCCTTCTTCTCAATTTTTGAGCTAATTATTCGAATGCGCACGGACCTTAATACTTAGTATGCCGGCCTTCGGCCGCGATACAAGATTCAATTCTATCCGGCATACTCTGATACAATTTAGTAAACAACGACTAATCTAACGTATCCTAAGCAGCTTGCAAACAACTCTCCATCCTTTTGCCTTGCATGTTCTGAATTCGATTTGTTGATTGCAACCTCGGGGAACACTTAGTAAAGCTTCTTCTTAAGATGCTACTAAACGTGCTCGATCGGATTGAGGTCGGGGAAATACCACGGTACAGGCCTAAGTATTACCCCTCGAGGGTGCCTTAAAAGTTTAGTTTCCACTTTAAACCCCCTGTTTTCCATACCCTCGAGGGGTAATACTTACGCCTGCGACGTAGTAAGGTGGCCAATTGATTAGTAAAGTTGAAGAATGAGGTTGCCGGTTTGAAGTCGGAGGTAAACAAGGCTCGCTCGATCGCTTCTCGACTCAACGCTCAGCTCGAGCTCATGGAGACAGATTCTTCCGGTGACGAGCACAGAGGTCTGGTTGGATCAAACGCAGAGAATCTTGATGATGCGAAGAATCTTGGTAATGAAGAGAACTTTGATGATGAAGATGAGGATAGCCAGCCATCAGCGAAGAGAATTCGTTCATCGTGAGAGGGCCAGGGGACCAGAGTCTCGGGAAGTGGTGGTGGAGCTTTGGAACTTAGTCCTGATTTCGAAGAAGTCTACTGATCTCGCGGGCTGTGCGAACTCTACATGACTTGCAGGGAACTGGGTAGATACGTAGTACGTACTACGTACGTCGTAGGATAAACTTCCCGCAAGGAGCCTTCTCTAATAGTCAGTGCGCGCTGACTTTTACCTGCGGGCTCTCTCTAAGAAAAAAAAAAAAAAAAAAAAAAACCAGATAAAACATTAATATTTGCAATTGCTGGTCAATGTGGAAAGGAGGAGAGTAGCTGTGGATTTCGGGCAATCTCCGCGTTAGTATCACAAATGATTCGGAGAATGTACAAGTAATGAAAGATCTTTCATTGATCAAACAGCCCCAGAAAGGCTTTAGAAAAACCATCCTGCACATGCTGTTCCCTCACGCAACATAGTAGTATGCTTCCCCGGAGTATCCGAAATCCAACGCACGCTGCAAATCAGAGAACATACCACGGTACAGGCCTAAGTACAAGTAGTAGTATTACCCTTCAAGGATGCCTCAAAAGTTTAGTTTCCACTTTAAACCCCCTGGTTACCCTACCCTCGAGGGGTAATACTACTTACGCCTGCGACGTAGTAGATTCCACCCTGTATCAATGCAGAGCGCATAAGGTAACCGACAATCATCTTTTTTCATAATGAAATAATCTTCCTCATTAGTATTTATAACGACACTACCAATCTATCATCCACAATGATTTTAATAATACTGCTAGCTTAGTTCTGCTTGGGTACAATTTGTGAAAGAGCGATGGGGAGTAACAAGAGCTCAGCCAAAGAATCGAAGTCAAGCATACACGTGATCTAACCGAAGAAACCAAATCGGTTATCGCAGAGCAAGTTTTTTCTTTCTTTCTTGATGCAGAGCGTGCAAAAGGCTACAAGTACTTCAGAATAGTTTAATAAGCTTCGTCTGAATAGTATGATTCTAATTCCTTAAAAGTACGCTGGTGCTAGTGTAGGGCTGTTCGTGGTAGGGTGGGCCATTTTTATAAAGCATAGTATTTACATTTCTAGAGCCCGCAGAGCGAAGAAGAGTAGCAAGGAGCATGGATTTGAAAGTATCAAAATGAAAGGTTTTTTATGTATCCGTTTGTATAAGAGCATTATAGGAGCCATGGCAAGTCGGCCGGCCTGTCTTATACACAAAAACGGGTAAGCAAAGCAGCTTCTGGTACCGCACAATGCAGTTTACTATAAAATTTGTTGATGTATTCTTGATTAAAATATTATGTGAAGATACTCTTGCTCTTGTTTACCGAGTGCTTTTATTTCCAAATCCTGATTCCCGATATTATAGTCATAACTCCGAAGTGAAGTAGAAATTCTTTTTCGTTCATATTAAGTACTTACTTCCGTATCAGAGCTCTTACTGGCTTTTCTGTCGTGTTCAATTGTACCTCTGGGTACTTTACTTAATCATTTAAGTAGATAATAAATAACTGATGGGGTTGCTCCTTCCTCGTCAAATGCTAGGCCGCACTTGCACCGGCGCGAAAATATAGTAGTTGCCCGATAATCACGAATGGTTTCTTCGTGGATTCCAGATAATGGATAACAAAACTCCGTAATCGACGCGATTTCAGAAAGCAGGCAACCCACCTTAACAAATATTGCACTATCTGAAGACTTAACTATTGCCGCGAACGCGGACAATATCGTTGGCTTGAATACCCATCCTATCCAACGAACAGATATCAGCATGAATCTCAATCCTCTCCGACGAATGGAAACCCTCCTCGATGAGCTTACAGTCATTGCAGATGCCTTCCCCGCCCTCAATGAACTCAAGACAAAAGTTCAGTGCGATAAGGAAGCCATGTCGCAGCTGTGTGCGAGAATGGGAAGGGCAGAGTTGAGCAAGGATTCAGATGAAGAGATCGACCACGTATCCGAGGAGCAGAGGAAGCTCGACGCCAGAGCATACGAAGACCTGGACACCACAGTTTCTTCGCTAGAGGCCCGTGCTACCCAGATCACTTTCGAGATGCTACTAGCTCACGCGAGAATTCTGGCCGAGAACGACCAATTGCGCTCGGAGCTACGTACTGAGAAGATCAAAGTCGAAGAAAAAGGAGAGCAAGTTGATATTTCGATTCCAATGCACAAGGCACTCGGAAACGATTTAGCGGCGGCGCGAGATTTACAATCACTAGAACCTATGGGATCTTCTAGCCATGGAGCCGTGATACACCCAGGCCGTTTCCAACTCATCTTGGATGAGACGACCTCGAAGCTGGCGAAGGCGGAGCGCGATAACGAGTCCTTGAAGACAAATTTGACGGCTAAGTATAAGGCTTTGATTGATATCCAATTTGAGTTAGGAAGATTGCAAACTAAGTACGAGATCGATATGGCCAACCACATGAAGGGAGCACAAAGTGTGGCAGATACCAGAGTCGTCGACATGCAGAGAGAACTCCATAACACGACCAATGACTACGTTCGTTTCAAGAAAAGCAATATACTCCTTAAGCAAGATATCAAGGGCCTCGAGCAGAAAGTTAAGAACAAGGATATCAAGCTCGCCCGATACATCAGCGCCATCAATGCTCAGCAGGAAGCTCAGGCAGAGCTCAGCCGCCGACAGCTTTCTCATGAAGCTGCTCAGGTCGAAATGTCTGCTTTGAAGAGCCGCATTGTAGAGCTCGAGAACCAAGTACTCACTCAGAAAAAATACGCTCATCAGTATAGAAGTACAATGAAGTATTGGAGAAGACGCGCCGATGGATGGGAGCAGGAGTTAACGCAAAAGAAGAAACAACTCCGCACTGTTTTCTCCGAAAAGAAGTCTCTGGACCAAAAGTACGAGAATGTGCGAACTCGTCTTCAAGGCTTTCTCTCTTCATTGGATGCCTCGGAGAAGGAGAGTGAGGAAAGGATCGATAAGGAGGATGGTAATGCTCTTACGAGAAACAATACACCCAATGACAATATGGCGATTGGCAACGGCTCCGATCTTCGTCGCATCTGTGCCGCTCCCGCTCATCGAATATCAACTCCTCAGCCAAATGTACCCAGACCAGGTTATACTCTAGTCAGACAGGTAAAGTCACCAATCTTTCTAAGATCGCTTTCATCTGTTGACAAGTATCGACAGCATGAGAGGGTGCTCCCCGGTCGCTCTTCAATTAGGTCGACATAGACAGGTAACTCGCCAAGGGACTTGGATGATCAAGCTTCACTCTTTACTGGAGATAATGGAATAGCTTCGTGGCATGGTATTCCTTCGAGGATTGGGTAGCTGGTGGCTCTTATTATTTGTTGCTAGTATTCACTATGACAATGAAATCCCGATATTCCTTTACCGAGCATGACTCTGCTCGGTTATGATAAGATAGCCGAGTGCTATTACCTGCAGAAACCACGCTAGAGTTCCATCCGAGTCGAGCACAAAGTAGCGAGTTCGCGCACAAGCGAGTCGGAAACAATAACAACAGGCGGAGCTCACTGCAGAGCTTACTAACCCCATCATGCCCATCATAGCTTTCTGTAGAGTGTAAAAAGCTAAGGAGTGATCGGGATAGCGGAAGAGATGGTTTTATGAGGAAGCTTGAAAAGACCCAAATGATTTGCGCGAAGAGATACAGGAACCAGCGGGATCCATGACTTTAAATAAGCTATCATTTTGATGTGGGATACGATTGAGAGTCTCGGGTACAGAAGAAAAGGGTAAGATTGAGCCCTAAAATGTCGCCCAAACATCCAGCCTTCCGTGATTTCTCTCGCCACTGACAGCTTCAAGATAAGTGCCCTGGTTTTGTTTAGCTATGCGAAACATTTTTGATTTATTTAACAGAAGGTCGATACCTGATCCGTTTGCTCACTTAAGCACGTCCGGAACTTCAAAATGTCCGGCGAGCAACTTGTAGAGGTGCTTGCTCAAATCAATACGCCGCACGCGGATTACGCCTTCCCTGCTGGCGCAATCCACTCACTCGATCTTACCAGGCCGCCAACCCCCATAAACCGTCCATGAATACGGTTGCCCGGTTACCCAGAATGTTTGCAGAATATCGGGCTGATAGGATTCCAAGCGCGCGGGCATTCGACCCTTCCAGCGAGCGGATACGACCTCATCCAAAGTTTCCGTGACTTGGTTGAAGCAGATAAGGCTCGCACACAAATTTTGATTCTGGTGAACTCGCAGCTCAAGATGGAGTCTAACAGAGATAGGCGGGCAACAGAAGAAGAAGCGATTTCAAGGAAGGCCGAATCATTACTCGACCGCAAGATTCTTATCGAGAACATGAGGAGGCTCTCAAGGAGATCCGAGCCTCTCAAGACGAAGAATATAAGTCTCAGCGAAGGGCAGAAGGAGCTACGCGCATACTTCGTGAATTTGAAGGAGGAGCCGAAGGGAGTTCAAGCAAAGTTCGACAATTTCAAAGGAGAAGAAAACACAAGTATATACGAGCTGGAGGCGGATCTTGGCGATTATTGAAGCTGTTTCAGGAAGCATGCTCTACCTCGGACGGTCTCGAGATCCAAGTAAAGTTGTTGGAGGAGACACTGAATGGGGAGGTGGGCGTCAGGGAGAGCTTGGAGGGGAACAAGACGGAGGAATACGAGGCGCAGTCTAGGCTCGCTGAGGACAAATAAAATGATGTGAGGGATACCAGGATGGCTTCATTCCAGCAGCTCGTCAAGCAACATCAAGATGCCGCGACAGACATGGCGATTCTCCAACAACAGAATAAAGAGATAAGGGAGAGCGGAAATAATCATGCGGCGAGCTTGAAGAGGTTGGGGGAATATCATGATAGAAAGAGTCCTCGAAAATGGGCAAGGATCTCAAGCTGCTGCTCGGCCGATAGCGGGCCGTCAAAACAAAGGCCAGCGCCCATCCCAGCACAGCGAGCTTCTATGCAGCAGGGCTTCACAGGCAGAAATTATACTCAGAATCTCCAATTATCAGAACATTCGTATCATGACGTTCGAGCTGACCGCCATCTTTCAAGAGGAGAAGCCGAATAGTACAGACAAGGTGGCGGAGTTTGAGAAAGTGACCGATCAGTAATACCTTTGTTGAAGTCGGAAAACGAGAGGGCTGGCGTAACGTGGGGTTTGATGTTGGAGCGATCTTATTAACTGTAAACTTCCTCTTTTCTCCGGGATTCTTGGGCTCAATGTGGAGTACTCTGTAACAATCTTGTCGTTTCTTGATTCCCTCATGAAAACCCATCTGAAGTATCTATTTTCCAATGCCCGTCACACAGTGAAAGTGCGGGAGCCACAGCATCCCACGATTAGAATTGACCGAATTAATGGTATCGATGGTCACCACCACATGGAAAAGGTGAAATTTGTGTTGTTATATTTATATGATGTTTAAAACAAAAGTGTAAATGCCGCTCGGCTATCAAGAGTTTGACTTTTGCTCGGCTATTTTGTAACACAAGCTTCAGTATCTCCCAGTGTCTTCAGGGACTTCAAAGTGTTCACATTCTGAATTCTGGCTTCTGGCATCTGAAATTGGCACAAATAGTATTCACTAAAATTCCCAGCATACCGTACCGCCCAGACTATCAAGATCCGAGATAATAGTCGGCAGTTGTGCTTTCCCTATTTTGGCTCGGCTAATTCACCCTCGGCTAAGTGCCTTTGTTGACAAAATTTAGCCGAGTTTCCTGGACTATAACAACAACATCATCATCGTCACATTTGCGCTGCGGATTTAGGCGCAGCAACGGTAAATTTTTTTGTTCTAATCATGAATCCAGCGGTTGAACATGATCTGGCCCCGCCAAGATTTTAATCTCAGCCTCTCGTTCTTGAAAAAGAATCCCCGGTCAAAGTGACTGAAGGTGAGATGCCCTTCTATGCAGGCTTTTATGCTGTGCTAAATGCAGGTAGCACACCCAGAGACTTCGAAACCTTCAGACAAGCCTCGGGGGACGGGTACCACAGCTGCCATGGATCTTGTCAGCTCAGAGAGCAGTAGCTCGGACGGCCCCGAGGTCACATTGAACTGCAACTTGTCTCCTACGATCCAGAATGCACAAGCTTCAGTTGCAAGTGAGCTAACTTCTGAGCGAGCTCCTGATACCGAGCCCACTTCTCGTGATGATTTGGCGCGTCAAGTACCTCACCTGCTGCGGTAGAGCAACCTGCCACGTTTACTGACAAGACTGCAGAAGACCAGTTACCATCCCCTCCTACCTCACATGCCGAATCCTGCGATCATCCACCTCCTCCTGATTCCGAAAACGACCAACAATCAAGTCCTGCCTCCGGAACCTCTGCCTCAAGCTCTGCTAGACCACTCGACGAATGTCCCCAGGCCTCTGCCATGCTCCACGGCGTTGTAGAGCAATATACTAAAGTTATCGAGTCACAGCTACACGAAAAAGACACCACCATACAAGAAATACATCGAAAACTCAAGGCGGAAGAGAGCCGAGCTATAAAGGCGGAGAATATACACTTGGAGGCAAGAGCACAAGCACTGGAGACACCAAGGCAAGGCTTAGGGGTGGCTACAAAGAATATAACTGCTCTGAGAGGGGATATCGAGAGGTTGAAGATAGAGAAGCAAGCAGCAGCTGAGTTCTTCGAAACTGAGATCCGGCGGCTAAAGGCAGAGACTGAAGATCTGCGTCTTGCCAACGCGCGGTTCGAGGGCCAACGGCAGAGTAAGGTCGATGATGTGAGCCGGCAGCTTGCTTCGAAAGCCACCCAGCTCGATAACGCTCGCAGCTGGATACACAAAGAAGGAAAGGAGCTTGCCACCAAGGCTGCCTCTCTCAGCAAGGCTCGGTTCGAGAACGCGGAACTGAATAAAGAGAATAACGAGCTCATGCGTGAGAGCATGGAGATAAAGGATCGGGTGGTACGGTACAAGAGGAAATGGCAGTCTCTCAGGCAGGGGATTACGGAGATGGACGAGGAGTTCGGGCGCGACGGGAGTCCAGTGAAGAGAGCTGCTAAGGTACAAAGTGATACAGTTCCTCTCTCGGTAGACCTTTGCTAAAGCATAGCTCAGGATACCTGAAGGCTGGTCTTGGGGTTTCCTTAGAGTGTGATCTGCGAGCACTGGATTTCTTGCGGTGGGAAAATGGCATATAGTTTGTGAGAAGACTTTTCTCGAGATCTAAAATATGATTTTATCAACCATGAAGGAGATGTATTCAAGACGTGATAGCTGAGGGGATGATAGATCACTGTACGATGGAAGTGAGCCCGAATCCTTTCAGAATAGCAAATCTCTTCAATCAGGACATGGAAAGCCCGGATCTACTGCTTCTAGCTATCACCTTACCTTTCCCAGGCCTCTTATATAGATATATTCTATCAGAATAGCCGCTGAAGATGCCTATGACGTTACCTAATACTATCTTCAACGAATCAAACCCCCCCAAAATTAAGCGAGCCTAGCTCCGAAGTGACACGATTGATATGTAATATTTTCGACAGTCCCTTTCCCTCAGCTTTGCCCTTTCCTAAACACCCACATCAACCCCACCGCCGCACTTTTTGTGCGCCCCTTCTCACTCTCTTTCCTGCAGACGCCCACAAGCCTCGCCGAAAAGCTAGTGGCCGCCATGAATTGTTTCCCCATGCAACAAGAGTTTCTGGTGATCACCATTCGAGGCTCGGAGCGCAGTAAGAAGCGCAAGCAGAAGGTCGCTACTTCTCTTGTCGGAGCTCAGGCCAAGTCCCTCGACGTCCCCAAGAACAATATGTCAAGCAAGGGTATCGAGCCTCTGCACTCGGCTGACAACACCGGCGCCGTCAAGCCAAAGAAGTCTCTCCGCGAGCGCTTCAGTTTCCGTAAGTCTTCGACCGCTAACAAGGACCTGGTTCCGAAGAACTCAATTCCAGAGAACTTGGCTCCAGAGGACTCAATTCCAGAGAACTTGGCTCCAGAGGACTTGGTTCCAGAGGACTCGGTTCCAGAGGACTTGGTCTCAGAGGATTTGGTTCCAGAGGACTTGCCATCCAAGGTCGACAGTGAGCCTAAACCTGCTGCAACCGAGTTACCATCACTGCAAGAGCAACTGGCCCTCTCACCATCCAACAAGGGTACGAGTATCGCCTCCATCAGCACGACCTCGACGGAGTGGGAACGCCTTGCGCTCGCTAATACACCAACTCGTAAGCCTCCTCCTAACCCAAGACGTGTCGCGGCTATGCTAGCTGCCCAGGCCAAAGCAGCTGCGGAGGCCCAAGCTTCCCAGCGTCCCGAGACCCCCAAGATCAGTACCTTCCCAGTCAATCGCCCGAAGATGTCAGTCAATTCTAGCGTTGATGAGAGTGGATCCTTCGCCGCACACCAAACTTTCCTGAGTCGCACTTTCCAACTACTGATTACGGAGAATGCCTCGATTGAATCCGACCTAAGAGCCCTCGAAAATGCTGTCCGCGAGCGTGAATTGGAGATGAGCTCTGCAAAGGCAACAGATGAGGCAGCAATGCACACAAAGGTCTGGGATGCGCAAGTCAAGTCTCAGACGTTGGAGAAGCGATTGCTTGGCAAGGATGAGTTGGTCCAGAGTCTGTATATCAAGATCGATGGTCATGAGAACACAATCCGCACCCAAGCCCAAGCTTTCAAGGACCTCCGCAACCGCACTCACAATCTCGAGGAGACAGTGAAGCAGATGGGTCGTGACTCCCGCACCCGCGTTCACAATCTTGAAGAGACCATTAAGCAAAAGGATCGTGAGCACCGCTCCCGCGTTCACAATCTCGAGGAGGTTATCATGCAAAAGGAGCGTTCCCTTGACCACAACCGTCGAGAGTATTCGAGCGCCATCATGCGATTAGAGAGAGAAAAGAGAGCCCTGGTTGAGCAGACTGGAGTCCTGGACGAGCAGCTCGAGACTCAGAAGACAATGATCCGTCACCTGCAGGCCAACTCCCATAATTTCAAGGTGTACGCTAAGGACATGGCACAAGGCTACGAGTTCTACCGCAGTCACTACGAGAAGTACAAGAAACACTTCGCTGAATGGGACGCAAACGACCAAATGACCTCAGACGGTACCCAAGTTGACGGCCATGGTTCCAGCAGCCAAGACAACGGTGGTGGCGCCGGAGACGAGCTCAAGAGCCTCTCGGAGTCAGAATCTGCTGGCACCGACGAATCAAACATCAGTACGTCTTCCAGCACCAACGAGTCTCATGCCGAGGGTGCTTCCCGTGACCTCGAGCATGATTCGACACTGGTCGGTGAAGATCTCAACTGACTGTGTACACTCGGGTTAGAGCTGGCTGTTGTCAATTTGAGACAATTTTACATCGACCACCAGGAGCGCGATACGCCTGCCGTTCTGGAGGGCTCTCGATTCATGGATTGGGCCCGGGGCGGAAGCCGTATGGAGGATCTGCCGCACTTGTGCTTGGAAACCGGGGACAACGAGAGCGGCGGCATGACCCCTCCCGAAACCCCCGTCTCCCTTTCGGATTTTCCCCATCCCCCTTCTTCGTCGGATTCTTGATCACCGTCTTCACTTTTTCTGCGGGTCTCTCTCTCTTTTTCTGCGAGTTTCTCCCGGTTTCGATTGCTCTCTCTACACTCTGTGCATGGATGTCTTTGACGCCATCTTCTTCCGCGTTTTCTCTCTCTTGCTTGTTTTTTGACGCGTACAAAATGTTTCTCTCGTTGATTTTCGACGACGACGCCATTGATACAATCGGCCGGCTCTTGTTCTTCTCGGATTGCTGAACTCTATGGGAATAAAAACAGAACATCCAGACGGATCGTTTGGTATCGAGATGTGGGGTCTGCATACCGGTGGGGGGTGTTTTGTGCCCTCCGGACCGTTTTCTTTGCGATTTGTATGTAGCTAGCTCGCTAGGTTTCTTACCATAGCTAGATTGACGCGACAAATGCCTAGACAGACTTTGCAACCATAACCACAAGCACGGCAACAGCGGTACCTCTGCTGGAATGATCGCTGGGAATGTGATGTGATTGTGATGGGTCTAGTAAACAGTAGTACTTACAGGTAAGTCAGCCAGTCACTGAGTCGTGAATCTCGATCCCGCTATACTTGTAGAATGAAAGAAAAATCGGCCAGCTCATGATTCCACCACCAGCATCACCCGCATCATCATCGTCGACGGCCTGCTTCTTTACTTGTTTACTTACTTACTTGTTTACTTACCCACTTATTCAACTCATTCAACTGACACCATGATCTTTCTGTGCTGTGAGAAATCTTCTCCGTCATATCCGTACTACGTGACCTACCTTGACCTGACACTTCTGATCTCGAATCTCGAATCTTGAGAGTCTAGAAGAATAGATAGATAGAAAGATAGATAGATCTGTCAATATCTTTTTCCCCGTAACTTTAACCTTAACCTTAACCTTAACCTTAACCTTAAGCTTAACCTTAAGCTGGAGCTGGAGCCGGAGCTTAAGCTATTGGATAAGCTATGATATACACGTATAAGCTTTAATAGTTTTCAATAGATTTTGGTCCGCTGTAGACGTGAGTGTTCCCTATGGATTGAAGAGGGGGAAGGCGGGACAGGTTTCATAGAGATACTTTGGGCATCTATCTAATATTCAATTTTCTCTCTCTCTCTCTTCTTTTTTTTTTATTTTTTTATTTTTTTATTTTTTTATTTTTTTTTGGTTAAAGGGAATGGAGTAGGCAATGCTTTCTACTAAATGCGTTCCATACAGAGATATCCATCTATGTACAGCGAGGTTCGGAAGTACTATGGTTTGTAACGAGGCTTATAAGAGAAAGAGTGGAAGTTGATCATCACCTAGCCATGAACAGCATAGTTTCACAGACGCAAAGGAATGCGAGGCGATGCAGATCCCAGAAGGTAGATAGATGGATGGATGGATGGATGGATCAGTCACTCAGCGAAGCAAAGCAGATGTAGGTGAGTAAGTACTTTGGATATCTATGTTAATTGAGTTACAAAACCCCCCCCCAGAGAAACACTCGCAGCGCATCGCTCATTGCTCGACTCCCATCATCCTATCTTCAAACATCCATCGCTGCTCGCACAAAGGTAACCTTGAAAGGACCCGAGAAAAAGACCAAGGCTAAGCCTGACTTAATATACAATTACAATCATACACCATCTTACCGATCCAAGGCTGCCTCCAGATCCAGATCCAGATCCAAATCCAAATCCAGATCCATATCCTCACCCAGACCCAGACCCATATCCTCATCCCCATCCCCATCACGACCCCGATCCCGATCCAGTGACTCCGGTGGCGAAAGACCATCCGCCGCATTCTTCTTGGCCCTAGTTTTCCGAACCCGGGGAGCAGGCGGCGACGAATTGAAATGTTTCTCGTAGTATATCGCCTCAAACGCCTTCCAAGCTTTGAGGTGCCGCTTCTGCTCCGCGGCGGGCAGGTAAGGATTGCGGTACTTGGCGGCCTCCAGTCGCAGCTTGCTGTTTCTGCTGCAGTAGCGGATGCACTTGAGTTTGAGTCTTTTGACCTGGTCTTTGAGATCATCCAGCTCTTGGTTCGGATCGTCGGTGGGGTTCTTGCCGTTGGCCTTCTCCTTGCCCTTTCCCTTTCCCTTTCCCCGGCTCGGACGTCGCTGTGGTGCCTTGCCACCTCGCTTCAGGCCCGGGGTGCGCACGGCTTGGTCGGTCGGTGTGGGCGAGTCTGCAGACAGTGACAGATCGGTAAGGTCGTTACACTCTTCCGAGCAGAATGAGAGGTCCTCTCGAAAGGACGCACGGGAGCTATGGAAAGGCTCTTTTTCAACGAAGACTGGTAGGGTTTGATCGTCAGAGGTCGGGCTTGAACCAGTGGAAGCTGGCGAAAGAGGCAAGCCGAAGGCGCTCTTTAGTCGGTGCAGCAGAGGCGGGAGGTTTCCCCGACATGACCAGTCCTGGCTTCCGTACGACGGCTGTTCGCGGACTGGTGAAGGCCACTCCCTATATGTGTAGGGGTCTGGGGAAGTGCCGGCCTGGGTGTGTACCAATCCCTCGACCTGGTGAGCCGGCCATGAATGATCTTCGAGAGTTGTGTAACGAGGAAACAGGTCGTGGTCTGCCGTCTGGGGGTATCCCCCCTCATAGTACGGGTGACAATGGCTCTCATGGGGTGCATGCCCGGGCGGCTGAAAGGCTGGTGACGCCGGAGCAAGAGATGCTTCACCTGCAGCATACGGATGATCGGGACGGCAGGAAGACTCCCTTGCGGACGATTCGTAAGTTGTGCATGCGTGGCTGGCCATTGTGGATTGTTGTGGTTGGGGATTCTGGCCGATAATATATAATGGATAATGGATAAGTAGAATGTTGGCAAGATCAATTGTGGTGAGGGATGGAATGAAACGATGGAAGAGCTTCCCAATAAGTAGTGTTTTCGTCTCTGAGAAAACTTCCAATGGATAAGTAGAATGTTGGCGAGATCAATTGTGGTGAGGGATGGAATGAAACGATGGAAGAGCTTCCCAATAAGTAGTGTTTTCGTCTCTGAGAAAACTCCCAATGAAGGAGCAATGATGATTCATGAACTCAAATCTACCATGAACTAGTCACGAGGCCGGATATTGGGTGACAGCAAGTTCTCTTCTCGCGTACTATTACCACATCCCACACGCTATTGGAAGATGGGCCAGAGAATAGTCGGGTCCGGAACGTAATAGACCATATCGTGAGATCCAAGTTCAATAGAGGAGCCTCTTAGACTGAGGCTTCAATGACGTGATGAAGCGCTTGACCAAGTCAACCATATATCGTGAGATCCAAATTCCTCTTAGACTAAGACATCAATGACGTGACGAAGCGCTTGACCAAGTCTATCGATTTCAGTACTGGATGAACCAAAGTCCAAAGTTAGGTGCTTCCGACTCGTACCAGCGGAGCAAAATAAGTGTGAGGTCTAACTCCGAACGAAAAAAAAATATAACCCTCACGTTATTCGATCGTGTCGTTTAGTGAGACATCCAGATGGGGCCTCCCACGGAAGAGAGGGACATTGGGCAGCCAGACCCCCCCTATGCACGGTAGCTCCTCAGTCAACTTTGGTCCAGTAGAGTAAGTAGAGTGGGCCCGATTCCCGAATGAGGCAGATTCTAGTCTAAGAAGTGGTCGCCATCTTGGCACACCCAGAATTCCCGCTCACTTCCAGGCAGAATTCTGGCTCACCTCCAGGAAAGTTTGCAGCTGACAGGAAGTGTACCGAGGTTCCAAGACGAGAAAGGTACGCACGTAAGGACGCGAGTGAAAAGAACAAGAACAATGAGTACCTCGGAATGAGGTAGCTTTGAAGCCTGGACTTCACTATCCTATAACGCCTTTCTCCGTGCCTTAGACTTGTACGTATATGATAAGCAGACTAATAGCAGTAGCATTGATTTACGTCGGGCGTGTGGCAAGCGTAGCCTGCCTCCCTGAGACCTCCTATACCTTAAAGGGTACCCTTAAAGGCAGATAGGGGGTTATTTAAACCGTCAGCTGACAATCCGATGACGGTCTCTTTAAAAGACAATTCCACGAGGTTGGCTAGTGGATCACCTTAAGCCGATACTTAAAATTGAATAGAATCTGAAAACAAACGATTTAAATTATTTGAATCGTAGATAAAATAAAACTATTTCAATCGATTAAATCGTTTTTATAAGAGCTCGTCTTTTCGTTAAAAGATTATTACTAAAATAAGATTGATTTGATCGATTAAATAGTCGTTTATAAAAGTCGGTCTTTTTACGAAAAGACCGTTTTAAGACCGTCTTGTAGCCGTTCTATAGCCGTCTTGAGGCCGTCCTCGAACTTAAAACCGTCCCGAAAAACGTTGATCAATAAGCAAATAATTTTTTTTATTTCAATTAAGGTACCTAGCAGTCTACCCTTTACCAGGTATACCACCTCTTTATTACACCACCCCTTTAATAAGCGGATAAGGCGCTTCTGCGCGACTGAACTTTTATTAAATCGATCGATTCCGCTTATTAAAAATATAAAGCGTTGATATATAAGCCGTAGCAGAGATACCGAAAAACATCTTGGCATCGAATTTATTAAATTATTATTAAAACGATTTCATTTCAAAAACGATTTTTATTTATAATTATATTTTCTTTAGAATAATTATCGAACTATTTCAATTTTTTAAAATGAGCTTATTAATAAACCTGTTTTAAAAATATAGACGAAGACGGCTATAAGACAGCCATAAGACGGTCCCACGCTCGGAGACGATTAAAAAGTTGAATTATTCTTGATCTGTAACTAACATTGATTTTAAATGGTTTAATAACCGTCTTTATAAAAAAGGGTCAGAGGACCGCTCAAATGACCCCCTACCTGCCTTTAAGGTAGGTATAGAGACGAGAGAAGCTAGGCGAAATCGACTCGGTTCCTAACAATATTATGTGTGAACCGCGTCTGGTCTAGCACCTCAAGTCATCAAACCTCTACAACAAAGATTTTTGCGAAGAGCAGCAACTACCTGCAGCAACCACTTGATTATTCTGCTGCATACCAGACTAATCAATTCCCCTTTATTGAGCGTTTGACTTCAAACTCGCTTTGAACTTAATTCTAGTTAAGTACTCCCTGCCTCTCCACCTCCAGATTTCTTTCCCATCGACCTTCAGTCTCCAATAATGGCACCCAGAACCGCCAGAACCTCCGCGCAGATGGCCGCCCCTTCCACAACACTCCCACTTCTGGCAGTAATAATAATCAAAATATGGAGTGACGTTTAGCAAGTTGCAAGGCCTGCCGCCTTAGGACTTCCTATAGGGTACGGAGACGATAGTACAAAAGAGCAAAGCCTTAGATAGCAAACCGGAAAGGTGCGGCGCAGCTACTGTCAAATGAGTCATTCTTCCATCTTTAGGATTGGTGATAGAAGAACGGTAAGGGTTATAAGCCCCATTAAGTGTCTGGGCATCACAGTCGCTACCAGCACCAAGGGTGCGTTGAGAGAGTCAAAGCGCAGCGACAACAAATGGTGCGAATGGCGACCTAGACGATCATGCATACCTATGCATGCATACCTATGCATGCATGGCAGTGATTCCGCTTCTTCCAAGGGCTGACAGGCACTGCTACCGATCGCACTTGGCTGCTTCTTCTCAAAAATCATACTGCTTGACTGAGCATGGTTTCCACTCCACTACTGCAACAGTAGCTTATGTATACTGCATTTTTTTCTAGCCTGCCGCTCAACATGAGATTAAGAAACAATAGACAAACGCTAAGGTATCTCCTAGCGTTAGTGGCCTGGAAAAAATGCTAGACCGCTAGCCTTTATTTATTCTATTTATTCTTTCCCACCGTAGAATTCTTTTCTCGGAGACTTCATATTCCCGCACAATAGATATCTTTGGACCCAAACACCCTGCCAAAAGAGAGATAAAATTTACCCCAAAACATCAGAATTTCAAGAATTTCAAGACAAGAGTCGACAAATCGCAGAAATGGCACACCAAGACAAGTCGAATCGTCAAAGTGAGGAGCAAAACGAGAAAGTTCTCGAAACGCCAGTGAGTAGCCATCGTTGCTTGAGAAAGAGAATGGCAGAGAAGTTGACGCGATATACCAGACCAGGGCAGGAGGGATGGACATCTTTGGACATCTTTGAAAGGACGACGTCGGGGACACGCAGCCCAGCAGGCCAGATGCCCAGCATCGAGGCCGTGATGGGAATGCCTCCTCGTGCCCATAGAGGACCAGTTGCTGGTGTCCTAGTGAGATGTACCATGAGTTTGCACCCACACTCCCACACTTGGGGGACAAGACAAGACTCTGTGATGGCGGCGACGCGGAAGGAGGAGGGGAAGAGACATAGGATCTTCACAATGCCTTCCGAGGATCAGTGTTGGTATCCACATAGTACGAATATCAATCTGTCGTATTCGTAGTGTTGTTAAGTCTTAAGAGGGAAGCTGTTCTAAGTAAGAAAGAAGTGTAGTTACATTATCACGTGGTAATAATGCCAAGGCTATCTCACGGGCCATGTTGCGGTCTGCCCGTCGTCCCTAACCATGTCCCCCATGTCCCTAGTCCACAGAGCTCTGTAGCTGACATCAACCCAGAAGGGACAGATGATCCTTACCGTTGTAAATCTCCCTGGGCTGTATCATGCAACACGCCTGTTCTTTTTACATAGCATCATGGAACGGCATCTCTTCTTTCAGTCCGAAGGCTCTCATTGATAATACCACGTCGTGAAATGAAGCAGTAGTATACAGGGCCCGCTGCCATTCCCTATCCCTCGCCCAGCCATGCGTGCTATTGAGACAATCAAGGAAACTCCACTCCCCAATTTGTGCCTTGTCCTATACCAGCTCGCTCGTCACATTCGAGAACTCACTATTTTCCAGCTTCGTCTTCCAGAAAATTGGGTTCGTATCGTTGAAACCGTGCTTGACCCACCCGTCCTCCTTCACATGGTACAAGTTGATAAACCCACCAGAGTAAGCATCCCTATGCGTAGCGGCCAAGATACTTCTGCTTCCCAGGGACAAAGCCTCCTCCTCCGTCAGGTCGTAGCGGTACTCTGCATCCAATACACCGTATGCGAAGGTTTGACCGGATCCAACACAGAAGAGGTTGCCAGCCAGACGAGTTCCGTCGGAATCAATGTAGTAGAGAGCGGGCCCTTCCTCCTTGGTGACACCTGCGCACATCGTTCCCATTGATAAACCCATTCCTTTGTATGAGTAGACCAGGTTTGCGAGGATCTTGGAGGCGGCTGCAACAGAGATACGGCGTTTGTGGCGAAGCTCGTGGAGACGACATTGCATTCCAAGGTATGCGAGCCAGTATTGACAGTCCTGATAACCGGCATTAGCTCCAGCTTCTCCCTACAACTCTCCAATATCACCCCCCCATGTCTGAAATGAATGGTATGGACGTACAGCAGCTCCTCCGGCCATCGTGCCTAATAAGCAGCTGTTGATCTCAATAACCTTCTTGACGGTTTGACTCGCAATCCAGTTGCCGGCCGTTGCTCTCGAATCGGTCGCTACAATGATACCACCTTGGAATCTGAATGCTAATGTCGTGGTTCCGTGGGCAATCTTAATGGGGCAGTTTGGGTTGGCATGGTCGTCAGTCGCAGCTCGGAGCCAGGCTGAGGGCTACATAGGGTATTCAGTCAGCGGATGGTCATGGCAGAGCTTTCAAAGCTCTAGAAGCTACGCAGCAGCTCATAAATAACAGGGATTACATACGTGTGCAACGGGGGGCATAGCGAACTTGAGAGACAAGGGGGGTGTTGACTGGTAGAGCTCCATCTGGTCTTCCTCAACATTCTCCTTCTCAAACATCGGCCGGCTGTATTGGGCGACGAGAGTATCCATCTTGGCACACGGTAAAGGCAGGATTTGAGAGTTTGGAGAGTATTGTTGGGACTGTGTTGTGGTGATGATTCAAGGCAGTGAGACGGTTGTATTCGTTGTTTAGAGATGCAGATAGATGTCGCGTCCTCGCTGCCTCAAGGCCGAGCGGCACGTGATCGTTCCTATCAAGTCTTGGTGGTCTCCACTTTTTCTCAACCTCACTCAACCTCACTCGTAAGTCTTCTCACTTGCGCTTTCAGCCACAATGGGCGCAGAAGATAGAAACCAATAGCGAATCCAAACCCTCTTTAGCAATTGAATTTCTCCTATTTGCAATACCCTGATGGGCCAGCCATAGGTTCAGCTTGGTGAACTATTTCCAAGCTGAACAAATTGGACCATGACTTTGGATCGATCGACTTGGATGTTTTGTACTGGCAAGCTAGGCGAAATTTATTGTTCTAGCTTCCCACGAATTGGTAACCTATCTCCAAGTGTATAAAGCGTTCTCTTTCAAGCTTGCTCGTACCTTTATTTCTCATCATAGCACAGTACATCATCTTTTACAAGTTTAAATAGCAGTCGACCAAGCAGATAGTCATCACTGTCAGTGGACTCATTTGTGAGTCCGCAGTATAGAATATATCTTTGCTTCAGTTGATCATCATCCCAGACTCTTCTCCTCGGTGCGTTCTTATGCAGTACTTGTGGTTGTGGTTGGACTGCGTTTGCCCTGGTTTGTTGACTTGTTCAACTCCATCAGCCACTTAAAGAAAGTGGTTAAGGAAAAGTGTTTCGTTGCGGCGTATCCTAGTTCTGCAGGTGAACCATACATACGCTGCATTACTTATGCCTTGAATTGGATTCAGCTGGCGATGCGCCCGATTCACCTCCACATCCACCTAGCTCGACACGTGATCGAGACACGTACTGTAGTCTAGGCACCTACCCGATTGTCTCCTTCTTTTCCTCCTTCACTCCCCATCACAACTGCCATATTCTGTGCACCAGTCGTGCACCTCCAGTTAACATACCTGAACGAGGGGGAGGTCAACTGATACAGCATGGTGATCTCTGGACGCTTTGGTTTCTGATCTCGGTGTAGGTGTGTTTATCTTTTGTCGATCTGAACTTCAGATTCCGAATCCTCTTTCTCTTCTTACCTTGTAATTGGGCCACAGGCGACATTGATGGCGAGTTCAGAAATGGCGGCACAGCCGGACCCCGGAGAGCATGGAGATCTTCATCAGCAATGTTGCCGTGCAGGGAACTGCCGGAGTTTTGAAGAGCTCCTTGTGTTCGCATCCTCTAGCTCTCGAGATCCAGCCCGGAACAGCAGACTGCGACAAATGGAACGGCAAACCGTGGGCTACATTGACCTCCCTCGAGGCTGCCGATGGAGAGAAATTCCTCCGGTACCATGGTCAACACAAGTCTAACCCGAACCACTTGAGATCAGTTCCTGTGGATACCGCACTCTACAAAAAGTTGTATTTGGCCAACCAGAAGATTTTTTTTGCAAGGAGTAGCCGAGTCGCAAATTCTCTGACGGTGTGAACTCTGGCACGAGAAGATAAGGAACATCAATTACAGATGATTGTTTCTAGAGGTCATCCTAAGCCCCAAGATATCTTTCCCGTGATCTTCGCTACTTCTTTTATGTCCTGTGGCACATGGACTTACGAAGGATCTGATCTTGTGTATGCATCCGAAGTCAACCTCCCTTGGCGAGGCCTTGCTCAGTTCGGAAGGAGAAGTATGATCTTGACCCTGGACTCTGGCTAGCGGATTGATTTCCGGTACTCGGCGGTATTCGACATCACAGCCCAAAATAATCCCACTGCATCGTTCACTTTCTCAATGCAAGAAGCTACGCGGTTCTTCAGACAGATTTCTCGCGATCCAGTAGCCGAGGCGATGGAACTGCTCACCTTGAAAGCCGTTCCCAAGAAGCCAATGAACTTGAGAAAGGGGTTTGAAAGAAATCGTATCTCAGCACTTAACCTCATGCATGAGCCTATCGCAAGCAACTGTTTTGTGTTTCGGATCGAGGGCCTGGTAGCCTTATCTTCCGGACGCGACATTGGACTTGTCGCTTCTACAGAGGATACACTGAAGAAGCTGTGCAAAGCACCTGAAATACCTCGCATGATCCTGCGACATATAGATGTACGAATGCCACAAGTCAGCCTTGCCTCTTCAATTGGGGTCCTCGACGATGCGCTCTCAAGTTTTAACTGTCCGTTTTCCGTTTCAGCTTCGTTTCCAGATCCACAAACTCTCGAAGAACAATTATCTTCATCCGAAAAAAGTCCTCCGTATGTTTCCAGTACTTCTTGCCATGTTGGATCGTTCCGGCCCGACTGTCACTATCTCTGCTGTTCAAAAGCTGTTCCACCAGATACCATTTCCATCGATAGATACCGAAGTATCGGATCTGAGTTTGGGAGCCATTATTGAGCTACTGGGCGATAACGAAGTCAATGCCCTGAATCTCGGTGTTGCTGCGGAACGTGATGCGAATAAACCCAAGAACGTGACATCCATCCACCGAGCGAGAGTGACAGCGACATCGATCACCTTGTCAGGACCTCAGCTGGAAAGCAACAATCGAACACTCCGGAAGTACAAGGAATTTCATGATTACTTCATGCGTGTCTCTTTTGGCGCGGAGGATGGCGAACCACTCATGTACCATTCGAAGGTCTCAAATTATCACGTCTACCACGGAAGATTCCAGGAAATACCCGACAGGGGTGTAAAAATTGGCGGTAGAGTGTTTTCGTTCCTTGGATTCCCGCAGTCTTCTTTGCGTGAGCGTAGCTATTGGCTCGTGGCACCGTTTGGATCCCTTGGTTCGTTACTTCTGGATCGCGACATCACTGGTGGTCTGGGGAATTTCACTCTTATCCGATCGCCGGCCAAGTGTGCTGCCAGGATCGGCCAGGCCTTCTCTGATACCAGAAGTTTTATGACTATCGATCCTTTGATTGTACGCAACATGGAAGATATTAAACGAAGCGGCTATGTTTTCAGCGATGGTTGCGGAACAATAGCATTGTCGTTGTTGTAAAAGATTTGGGATAAAATGCCCAAGGGTCGGCTGATGCCTACTTGCCTTCAGATCCGATACAGAGGTATTTAGCTACTCTTTCTTGATTTGCTCTTGCTCTTATTGTACTGAAAAGATGTCTAGGTGCCAAAGGAATGATATCCCTTGACAGTCGCCTCGATGGTGATCAGTTATGTCTTCGCGACTCCATGATCAAATTTGACGGCTCAACCTCCAACGACATTGAAATCTACGATATTACTTACAGACCCTTACCAGTCTATATGAACCGAAAATTCATCAAGATCGATCATGGAGAACCAGCAAGTGAAGGGTAGTTTTTTCATGGATCTACAAGCTAAAGAAATCACGTCTCTGCGGATGATCACAGAGAGCCCCATCAATGCCTCAAGTTTCTTGAAGAGACAGGGTGTCGGTGATTCTTTTCAATTCCCAGAACTGATCTTAAGGCTCGTGGCTATCGGCATGGACTTCAGATGACGGCTTTCTGTTCCACACAATGGAGGCGGTTCTAATGTCCGAGCTTCGAAAACTGAAGCACGAGGCGAGGATTCCTGTCCCTCGGGGCTGGCACCTGCATGGTATCATGGACGAGACTGGGTCCTTGAAAGAGGGCGAGATCTTCTGTGTTGGTGTTGAAGAGGGCGTAAAGAATGTAATCACGTCAGAGAGGTTGGTCATCACTCGAGCACCTGCTTTGGATCCTGGCGACGTCCGGATTGCGAAGGCTGTCATGCCACCTGCGGAATCGCCTCTGATGGAGCTCGGTAACTGTGTCGTCTTCAGCCAACATGGGAAGCGCGATTTAGCTAGTCAATGAGGCGGTGGTGATCTGGATGGAGACCGCTTCTATGTCATTTGGGATGATGATGCGCTGCCGGAAAATGAATTTGAGGCCGCCGAGTACCCTAGCCTCCCCCGGTGGATATTGGCCGCCCTGTTCAACGCGAAGATATCACTCGATTCTGCATTGATCATCAAGAGAACGAGCGGCTCGGTTCCATCGCAGTTGGTCACCGCATCGCAGCAGATTATTTGCCGGGGGGGAACCGACGCTGAGAAGTGCAAGACCTTCGCAATGCTCCATGGAGTTGCTGTAGACTTTCCGAAGACGGGTATCCCGGCATGTTGTGTATGATCGTGCTCAAGTACGAAACCGATAACTTAACAGGTCGATCCAACCCAAATACCCGTTCGAAGGAGACTCTGGATTACTTACTCCATCCTGAAAGATGGAGGAGACTGGCCCGAAGAGGCTTTGGCTCGGCCCCTGGCTTGCTTTTGTGTCAGTCTGGAAGATCGTCCTACTACTTACTCAGAGCGCCGAGGAGCAACTGGTCAGCTTCAAGTATCTGGCTGCTTCGCTGTGCCTGAGGGAGGTGGATAAAATTTCCGAGGCTCATGATGGTTTGTAGATTCTGATCCACCGCTGCGAAGGACAGGGAAGTTTTCCATTGGCGTAATAAGCTTGAGAACTAGGCGGTCTTGCATTCTGGAACCCGAGTTTGCGCGGAGTCGACTATGGTGGGTGTATGTAGCTGGGTTATGGCTGGATGTGTGATACCCACTTGATTTCTGGCAAGTCGATTCTGCAGGTAGCTCTCTGCTGCCCGCACGTAGTCCATGATCAAGTAATAACAATCCATACTCTTTGCATCCCCGGCTCATTGAGTAGTTGCAGCGCGGCTTGACGGAAAAGCACAGGATCACCCTACCAGGTTTGAAAATTCGCTCGTTCGCGGCCCGACAGGCGAGGAAGGCGGCAGGCATATATCTTCACGCCGATCGATCAAGCGAGTATCTCGCTCTCACACCCACGGCAGGCACAGTTTCCTACGTGACCAGCGCCCGGCCATCCAGTTCCTACCATCCCTCTCACAGCAAACGCAATCACAGCTTGCGTAGGTCAAGATAAGCCTTATCGCGCTGCTCTTTGTTCCCGTCTTGATCTCTCTCGGCTGTTTTCCTTGTTCGTTCGCCGGGCGCCGCAGCCGCCAGGGAACATGACATGACATGACATTCCACGCGTGGTCATTCATTCCCTAGCCTGCTCTCTTTGTTCGCGAGATGTGGAATCCCCAAGCCACCCCTCTTCTAAAGTCTGAAGTTGGAAGTTCATCCTCTGGCTTCGGCTATGATGCACGCTCCATGCGACTACTGATGAAGAGTCGGTCGGTCTAAACTGCACTGCTGCACGTAACATCCGCCATGAGGTTTTGGTCGCTGGTTCTGCTGCTGCTGGTAGTGGTAGTGTGTCGAGCCGAGTCCACAGCAGATCCCTATCCCTATCCCCACAACCACATCCACAACCAAACAACTCCGACCAGCGTAGATGCTTCCCCTCGCAGCACCCCGAGTACAGAAGTCGTTGGTACGCCCGCATCTGAAGTGCAGACGACCCACGAGCTGTAAGCACTGCTCCCGTATTCCCCTCCCGGATCTATCTGTGCATCTGTTCATCCGCTCTTGGGTTGGGTTCTCGTGCTGAATCTACCGTCGTACAGGCGAGGGACGCGGTTTATGTCGCGCTCGGCTTCGTCGTCCAGGCTTCCCGAGCTGGGTCGGGCTTCTGGGACGGGCTCGTTCGCGGCTTTGCATATGGGTGCTGTTCGGTGCTGTCCTGTTACGGCTAGTAGCGCTGCTCTTTCTCGCGGCTCTTGGAGTGGGGGTCGGGTGCAGGTGGTTGAAGTGTATGTCACGAGGACGGTCGATAGGATTGTGGTGTCGCATGGGCTGATGGAGAAGGAGGAGGAGAAGAAGAAGAAGAAGAAGAAGAAGATGGGAACGGCTTTCACGAGGACGACGAGGATGGGTGGGGGAGGGTTGAGTTGGGGGAAGGAGTATTTCGAGTGTGGGAGAGCTACTGGAGCGTGTGGATGTTGAAAGGGCGCCGGGGAGGGGGGGGGAGGGGAGGAGGGTGTTCAGCTGCAGATCCAGAAGATACGAGAGGCAGGGAATCGGTGCGAAGGCTCACACAAGATAGTTCCAAAGCTCTACTCCTCACTCTCTCCGCTCTTCAGCCCCGCATACATACATACATACATACATACATACATACATACATACATACAGATTCTCATCGTGTTCTCCCTCTCCCAGCGTATACCAAGCTTGCGATAGCTACCATTCATCCACCCCTCCCCTCCTTGCGCACCGGACATTGACAACCGCAGGTCCAGATCCTCGATCGCGCCCTTGCCGGCGCCTCTTCCTCTCTATCCTCCTCGGGCGCAGCTACCAGGACGGACCAAGTCTGGCGGTGAGCCAGTGCCAGTGCCAGAGCCAGTGCTTCACGCCACGCCACACCACACACCCCGAAGCCTCTCCAAGCTCTCCCTGCATCCTCCTCCTCAAGGTTGCCGTTCCGTATCTCTGTTGGGCCGGTCACAGACCCGCTGCTGATCGGCTCGCTTGTCTGGTCGCGTCGTGATCGGGCTCCTGCCCGTTTGGGCACGAGGGCGTCGATCCGCTGGATGAAAGTCTAGGTAGGGGTGAAGAAGAACTGGATTTGGAGATCTGGGTGGGAGGTATGGCGATATTTGTATTTATACTTATATATATATATATATATGACTGACTAGTTTACAGGTCGATTTCCCGATGACTGACTGGTCTTGTGGAAGGAAGTGTGATCCGTGTTTCTCTGGCGCGCGCGCGCTGCGCTTCGCTTCGCTTAAACTGAGTAGCGAGGTCACGGGGGGATGGGGTGGCAAGTTTCCCTAGGGAGCTCGGGGCTGCAGCAGTCGGTCGCAGCTGATAGATACCTACGCAACCGATCGATATGATTGAAGCCGTGGTGATTAATTTAGTTGGCGGTGTGGATTCCGGAGTACATAGCAGCTAGAAGGTGGAGCGCTTTCTTTCACGAAGTCATCATGTGGACTGTTCGCACTTGATCCACTGCTCTAGAATGCCTGTATCTTGACAACGATGCGCGGCTCTTATGGATAATGATAAAGAGCACTCTGTATCAAGCAGGCGGTTTGGGTGTTGGAAAGCGCCGTCGGCGAATTATGGACATCGGAGAGGTATTCTATCTAGGATCTACGCTTCTGCTGGGAGAGTGTGAGTCGCGAGCGGGTCGACTTCGAAGAGAGGGGCTTCGATACGGATCGATTGCTTTACGAGAGAAGGCCTGCTGGAACTTGAAGCGGGGATGAATCATAAAAAAGGGCGGTGGCTGCCAATTGATCGCGGAGCAATCGTTGTGCATCACGGTCAAACCATTCTGTCTTAGAGCTCGTACTTGGGATGGGCTACGATTCCAAGGCTGGTGCAATATATTTCATGCCGTTCATAGTCTTCGATTATAGACACGAGTGGGTCGGTCTGTATATACGGTACACGCCACGCACCGCGCACCGCTTTCGTCTATACTAGACACCAGAGCAGACGAGAAACCGTTCCGCTCCTGCGAAGTCCTCACGGATGCGCGGGACCAGCTCTACTACGCCTGCTTGGGGACCTGCTCTGGCGACGATGATTGATGTGCGGGTCACAGCGACTCTCGGTTTCTGCTCACCGCCGGGCTGGGCTCTTTCCGGGTGAGAAAGCTGTTTGGGAATATCGTCGCTTGTACATAGAGCGACAGCTGAGGAGAGAGAGGGCTCGACGGCCGGTGCTGTGCCAGCTGACGGCGTTCCGAGACGTCAATGAAGAGGGCAGTTCCCTGAGCCGCGACAGGTCTGCAAATACGTGAAACGGGTCGTGAGCCATCATCTACTTAAGGTACCCCATCTGCAATAAATAGCGACGCTCACTCGTTCGCAGTCGTGCCGTGATTCTGGTTCCATGCCTATTTTCATGGCTCGCTTGCGTAGAACTTGGACAATCAACGGAGGGAGATGACAAAGGGGCAGCGCGGGGGGGGCTGCTACCTAGTTGCAACAAGAAGTCACCTCTTTGACAGATCACCTAGCATCATCCCCACGTCGGTAAATGCTGGGGTGAGCTAGGTAGTAACATACTACTATAGGTACTAGTACTACTACGTATTATTCTGCTGATGATTCTATTATAAATGGCCAAGGGTAGAAGCCATGACATAACCTGCTGTTCCTTGTTCCCTTTGTTCCCTCCGGCACCGCCGTCTATTTATCGACGCCAGCCCCATCACTTAGCCTTTTTAATTTCCGGACTCCATTAGGTATCTATTTCGGGAAGTAGCCTCAATGGACAGAACTCAATATAGTAGTAATATACGTACTTAGTAGTAGTAATAGTACTGTAATACAGTAGTAGTACGTACGTACGCAGTACTACGATCCCGGCGTCCCTGGTTTCTGGGATTCCGGATCTACAGAGTGCAGAGTACGCTGGCAAAACAGGGTTGTCGTGCAGATTTCCACCCAGGGTTTCATGCGCCCAACGCCCAAAGATCCGAATCCGCCGACGGGCTGCATACGGAATCTACGTAGTACTACTATCCTGACCGCTCTTGCCGCAAGATCCTCACGCCGCTGTCAATACTACTACTTGTACGTACCACGGTGCAGGCCTAAGTATTACCCCTCGAGGGTAGGGTACCCAGGGGTTTTAAAGTGGAAACCAAACTTTCGAGGCACCCCCGAGGGGTAATACTTACTTACGCCTGTACCGTGGGTAGTAAGTAGTATTTTTCCAGCGCGCCAGACCGGGATCGCGATGGACGCTCCGGCTGCACTGGACGTGCCGGACTTCACAGCTCTCGCGTCCTCGGAAGCAGCGCGAGAGCCACGGAACGCGTACCCAGAAACCAGACCTGCCCAACGCAGCTGCCGAAGAGGGCCGACCCACCACTGGTGCGCTCGACGGGCAGTGGAGACATCGCGGTGGCATAGGTACGTGGATTTCCGGCACGCCTCTCGCTGCCTGCATTCAAATGCCATGATGGATGGCATGCAGCTGCTGCGTGCGAGCGCAGGAGCCAGCAGGGCATTGTGGCCGCTTCCTATGCGAACCCGACCCTTCAGCGATGATACATACATACATACACGGTAGGGAGTGCATGCAGACCGTCTTACTCTTGCTACTGTGCTACTGTAGCATCATTCCTGGAACCGTTCAGTATAGCTAGTAGTACCGGTACTTAGGAGATGCAATCGGATTCGTGATGCATTTGGTTCATCACGTGATAATGCCAATACCACGTGATATACAATGCCACCCTCACAGGCCGAGGCTGTCTACGGTATCAGACTTCGTGGTATACCTGTACATGGGTGAAGGTTGGCAAGAGCCGATATCACGTTGACTCGGAGTCTACGGCGATGAGAAGTCGATGATACACACAAAATCAAAAGCCAAATACATGCGTGGCTCTGAGAGGAAGTATTGATACGTAGTAATCACAACTGATAAGCTTATAAGTAAGATGATACGCCCTGCTGATCTACCGTCTCCCACGGTAGGATATCCACAGGGTACGTCCTGAGCCTATCCAAGGCGTGACCCTGTTCCCTCGTCGCGGAGTGGCAAGCGACTTCTCAGTATCGCCATCCATAAGGCTTTGATCATGAGAAGATTTTCCCCCGTGTCGAGATCGGCGGAGCGTCAGCTTCGGGGTGATGTTGTCGATGCTATCTATCTGTGAAGCGGATCTCAGCCTGCGGGCGGTATAGGAATTACGCGCGAGGATGTTGTGGACTTCGAGAACCCATTTGATCCAACTTGAGAATTACTCCCACATCTTGCGGCTCTGGTAGTCAACAGTAAAGGACTGTTAGAAAGATAGATCCGTACTATCAAAATATTGAGGAGCCCGCACGCAAGATGATAGATACGGTACTACCTCCTACTTTGTCCGAGCTATCTCTTGGTGGCGAAGCGTCTCCGCGTGACCATTGGTGCTAGGCAAGTGCGTCATCACCTCGTGACGGCGACGACTACTTCAACGACATGCCACCCAACTCCATGACATCCCCTCGTATCGACAACATCCGCTCACAAGCAAACCAAGAAACGATATAAACACCAATCAGCAATATGCAATTCTTCAAGTCCGCTCTTTCGCTCTCGGCCCTGCTGATGCTGGCATCAGCTCTCTCCGTCGAGCGCAATGGTAAGAGGCGTCCCAGCCGTTCAGGGTCGATCCCTCATCCCATCGACATGAACTTACGCGATAAATGAACAGTTCTATCATCCGGCGATGTCCAGGCTATGCCTCACGTAATCGCCACCAACTTCAAAGGTACCGGCACGCACACATAATCCCATCCCCGAGCTTATCGGGGACCTGCTAATAACACGGCGCCCCCAGCTTCATCCTTCGGTATCTCCGCGACCGGCTGTGACGCAGAGGACGAGGCCGATTGCAAGGAGTTCTGCCACCTCTCGGAGCAGACCGCTAATCGTCGGCTCGCTTAGGTGGGCCTCCTTTCATCCTTTCAGTCTTAGTCGGCATAAGCGATTGCGGATCGGAAGCGAATGCGGATTTTTTTATTTTGCTACCAGTTTTTGTATACAAAATACAATTTACAACATCATTCTTTGATCCACCACCGCACAATTCAATCGCATTCTACAATCAATTATGGGCCGAAAACGCACTCGCTCGAAGAAGCCTTCAAGGATTTTTCAATACAAAAGCCACGCTCAACCAAGTAGTCCTAATGCAATTGAAGATCTTGCGACGCGTCTCTAACGCGCTACAACTTTCTTGTCCGAATACCTTCAAGAGACTCAAAAAACTGCTGCGCGTATATACGACCTTAGTGAGCGCACATTAAACAGTCACCTTAAGCGACCGAAAAATCGCAAGCGCGGCGGTTAAAATAAGATCTTGCAAAGCTGGCATATCAACGCGTTACGCTAATTCATCGTTTAGCTCCTTGCTAATTGGCTTACTCCTACACCGCAATTGATCTATAACGTTATATTCGCCTTACGCAAAACATACGATGAATACGCGAAGCCGCAGAGCTGGAGCTGGTTTACAAGGTGGTGGAAAACGAGTGGCCTCTACAAAATCAAGACCAAACCTCTCGCTCGAATCCGAATATCAGCGCAAGACACGAACGCGGTACACAAGTGGTTCAAAAGCTATCGACGCACCTTGAAGAAGATGAATATTCGACTTAAAGATATCATCAATTTCGACGAGACTAGGTTCCGTATTGGCTGTCCGCGAAGAACGGAAGTATTAGTTCTTAGATCTATTCAAGAGGTATGTCGTGCTATATCGTATTATATAACTTATTTAATATTATATATTAATTTTTATATATAGTTCTACAGTGTTAGCCTTGAGAATCGAAGATCCGTAACAATAATCGAGATGATCAATGCGACTAGCTAAAAACCTGTTCCTCCGATGATTCTTATTTAAAGCAAACGACTCATGCAGCAATGGTTCGTTTCGAACCTTCTTACAAGCACACTTATTAAGGAAGCTGATAATAGATTCACGGATAATAAAATCGCATTACTATACCTCGAGCATTATATCAAAAACGCAGATTGTAGACCGAATAAACCTTAGAAGCTTATGTTGATAGATAATCACGCTAGCTACCGGACTCCGGAATTCATCAATTTAGCTAACAAAAATCACATTCTACCGTACCCGTTGATTCCTCACCTCACTCATTGCATGCAACCTCTTGATGTAAGGATTTTCCAACCTTATAAGCATTACTACGACTTAGCGATTAAAGCTGCGCTTGCACAGCTCGACGTCGAGTATACAATCAATTCTTTCTTAAACGATCTCGACCATATTCGCAATCAAACACTCAGTCGATACAATATCAAAAAAGCTTGGAAGAAGTCTAGAATGTACCCACCGAACGCAACGCAATGTTTAAAAAATCTCAAGACCTTTACGCCTCCCGAATACGTAAACAAAGACGAGCCAGAGCTTCCTCGTACTCCTCGGAAACCAGCGCATGTCGAAATCAGCTCGTGGAAGTGGCAAAATAAATGCAACGAGTTATTGAATAATCTTTCTCGACAAGAATTCGAATCCTACATGAAAGGTACTCGAGAAGTTGCAGTAAAAGCTACTTTACAAGAACAAGAATTAGCTATTCTCGCTTAACAACGAAAAGACCAACTAGAAAGCAAAACAAAAAGTCGCAAATGGTTTTATCACACCGAAGGCTTAACATCTCAAGTTGGTAATAAGCTTGCTGCTGAGCAAGAAGCTAAAGCAAATCTTGAATCTGCTGCAAAACAACAACGAATCGTCGACAAGCTTTAGAAAGAGGAAAGAGATGCTGAGTATCGTAAAGGAGTCGAATCACGCAAAGCTGAACGCGAGCGCAAAAGGACTATACGAGAACGCCTTGCTGCAGGCTTAATTATTAAAGACGACGATTCAATACTCATTCCAATTCTCGATTCGGAAGAGATTTAGTGGATGCAACAACCTCTTGAACGTTAAATTTTGCGGCCTCGTAAAAAAGGTATTCCTCGACCAACTCTTTCTCAACCTAAACCTTTTCTCGGTGATGATAATCTAATGATTATAACCGATACTACCGGAGACCTTTCTTTAAAGCAGGATATTATTCCTTTTCCTAGTATTAATATCGATAGCGATGGCTTCAATTCTGATAGTAGTAGAGATTCAAACGATTCGTTGCGAAAGGTAGGAGACGAATCAAATTCTGATGAAAATAATGATCGATGGTCAGATATCTCATCGGATGATACGATTTTAGATGTTTCGGAAGACGGTATAACAGACGATTAATTATTCATATAAATATTTCTTTGTTGTAATAGTAAATGCTATAGTATTAAAGAATTTCTAACATATTCGAAAAAATCCGCATTCGCTTCCGATCCGCAATCGCTTATGCCGACTAAGACTGAAAGGATGAAAGGAGGCCCACCTAAGCGAGCCGACGATTACCTGCAGCGCCAACGGCAACAAGGTCACCTGCTCGTGCAAGGGCGGCAAGGCCCCCGAGTCGAACTGCGAGGAGAGATGCTTGCTGTGTAAGTCGTCACGTGCGAGGCTTCCGGTCCCCTCCCCCTGATGTCTAACTTGTGTCTGTAGGCATGCCCGGAAAGTCTGCTCTGGAGGAGGCCAAGGCTCTCTTCAAGCTTGGAAAGTCGAAGATCGATGAGTTGTAAGCTGGGGAGGCTGGATGAGACGGCTCTGTGGCGGGGTAGTGAGTGGGTGTGTGAGAGCCAGGTGGCGGTTGCCTTCTTTTTTGACGCCTACGGGCCGCGGCTCTTTTCTTGGATATCTGGGTCCACGCGTGGTTCTTTCTGCTATGCGAATTTTAGTAGAATGCATCATCATATATCAGTAGCCAAGTTCACATTCCGAGTTCTTCTAAGAGGAAACTGCGAGAGGGATTGGATGGACCAGCTCGGCAGGCTGTCCCCAAAGCCACCTTGATGCAATTTCTGTCCGTGAGAAATAGAGAGAAAGAGAGAAGGGGGGTCAAGCTCTTAAGGAAGCAGAACCTAGATAACCACATCTGCAACGCCCACGAAACAACGCAGTCCGTCTGCTGACCTATCACGTGCCACCGGACTTTTCTTCCCTCCCTTCCCTCCCCTTCCCCAATCGCAAGAAAAATCATCAATGCACACGAAATAAAAGCCCGGAGGTACCTACGAACGAAGTCTATGCTCCTCGATCACCACGGTACTCCGTCCGTAGTCACGTCACGTCACGCCTCCCGTCCCGATCTAAAGCCAGCCAAAGACTAAGACTAAGACTAAGACTAAGACTAAGACTTAGACTGAGAAAGACTACGTAGACTTAGACTGAGACTAAGAATTAGAATAAGCGCAGCCCTTTCTTTCTTTTTCTCTTTCTTTTATGTTCTGCGGTCGCGTGCTTTATGTTGTTTGGTGATTGCTGATTGGTGAATTTTGGATTTTGGATGTTAGGTTGTGTTGTGTTGTGTTGTGTGCATGGGTGGATGGGTGGGTGGGTGGATGGGTGGATGGGTGGGTAGGTGTAAGCTTCGCGTATATAGCTGTAGTATATAGCTGTAGATAGCAGTAGTAGATAATAGGTAGAAGGTAGCAGTAGCTAATAGGTACTTAGTACGTGCATTCTTCACCGGACCGGATAGGATAGGATAGGATGGACTTTACTACGTAGGTAGGTAGGTAGGTAGGTATTGGTGGTGTACGGTACGGTGCGGTACGGTCACGGGAGCTTTTGCTTGCTTGCTTCCTTTCTTCCGTTGCGGATGGGCTTGCTCTACCGTGTTACGGATGCAGATTGCTATGGTATTGCTAGGTACGTAGGAGGTGTGGAAACTACGGTATTGCTCGCTGGGTGTGGAAATGATGGATGCAAAACTACGGTATTACTAGGTAGGTGTGGAAATTACTTGTAGACGGCGGGGGGTTAGCGGAGGAGTTGAGTAGAGTTGAGTTGAGTTGAATTACATCATCGTGTTGTCGATCGCGGTCGATGGGGGTTTTGCGTTGCGCCGTACTTACTACTTGAGGCTGCTACGGTACCGAGGTCGCGTATTTGTTGAGCTATGGGATGGGATGGGATGGGATAGTGTGGGATGGGATGGTCTAGGGAGGGAGGGAGGGAGGAGGGAGGAACCGAGAATGTACTGCTTACGTACGTAGGTAGGCATCTGCTGTAGGTAGGTACCTAGGTGGTCGTGGTACAGATAGTTGTAGTAGTAGTAGTAGTAGTAATATTCCGCTTTGGCATTCGGCTTATCTCCGGGGAGGAAGCAGTTAATCTGCTTTGACTTTGCGTGGTGGGCGGCTTTGGGGTGTGTTCGTGTATGTACTACTAGTAGTAGTACTAGCCGTAGTTTATATACGGAGGGGACATAATTGCGCGGCGGAGTTGAGTTTGGTTATAGCACGGTAAGTACGTAGTAATTTGTCGGTGGACGGTGAGCTGTGCCAAGTACGTACGTACTACTAGTAGTAGTTGAGGGACGAGTGAGTTTACGCAATTCGTTGGGGGAGAAAGGAGATTGGCTGCTCTGATCTGAGCTTGACATGCATGCGCGCTCCGGGTCCGGGTCTGGGTCTGAGTCTGAGTCTGAGTCTGAGTCTGAGTCTAAGTCTGAGTCTGAGAGCCGGGCTGGCTTGCTTGCTTTTACTACGTAAGTACAGGCTTTGCGACCTAGGTATCGGCGAGAGGAGAGGAAAAGCTTCTTTCTTCGTGTTGTACCGGTAGTGCTAGTACTACGTATGTTGTCTGCTTCGATGTCATTACGGAGTAGGCGACACGCATACGTACGTCGTAAACTGGACGGACCGACGACTGACTTGTGGTGGTTAGGGCTTCCTCCGACTCTGCTCTGCTCTGTAGTATTCCATCGAAATTCAGAGAAAGAACATACGACGGTACAACAGTACAAAACCCCTCATACAAGCTCTCCTGCCTACCTATAGTCGTGCGTGATAAGGGCGCTCTCGCCTTGGCGTGGAAATAAGCCTTGGGAATGGATGCTCCTGCAGAGCTTTCCTGGCTTTCCTCGCCTTCCTCGCTCTGCTCGCTTCCCCTTTCCCTCCTGGCCTCTCTCCGCGTTGTGTCATGTGATTGCAATCACCGGCGAGGAATGGATGAGAGCAGCGGAGAGTCATGGACTTGGTTGAATGTTCATATGTCTTTCCCTATGAATCGTTTACATTTTTAGCATCCCGCGACCGACAGACGTTGGTTTGGCGGCGTCGGCTATTGAAACCTTTTGCGATCGACGTCATGTGATGCGGACTACCCTAATGGTACAGCGACTAGGTACAGCTGGGTATACCTAGGTACAGCTAGGTATACCTAGGTACAACTAGGTACGCAGGAGGATGTCAGTTGGGTACGCAGCGTAGGCACCCGTGCGGCCAGGCTCAGCTTGCTCTAGGTACTAACTACCTACTCCATACAGCAGGAAATATGCAGCCTACGGGATAGGGTTCGAATATAGTGGGACTAGGTTTACGCTTGGCCAACAATCCCTGCTACCGCAATCTCTTTTTTCCCCGGTTTTTCCAAAAAAGAGATCAACGCATGGGCTGACGGAAGAAGGTTTGGTTGGGGGGGGGAGGCTGGCTGGGCTGGTTGGCCGGGCAAACAGCCGCTCTGACTTCGCCTCTTTTTTTTTTTAGGCCCTTTTCTCTCTCTCTTTGACAACTTTATCGGCGGGCTCAAAGAGGGATCGGCAACGACTTCGTACTGGACTAGTCCGGAGGGAGCTCTCTGCACCGCTCGATTCCTGGCCGTCACGTGCGTGACGGTCCGGAGCTCAATCCGTGAGTCTCCCCGTTGCCGAAGTCGGCTGGCTGGTTGGCTGGCTCGCTCGCTCGCTCGCTCGCTTGCCTGCTGGGTGGACCCATCTGCATCCCACCAACAAGGTCCTACCATTTACGGAGCTGCTGTACATGGAACGCGGTATAATAGAATCGTACTATAAGTAGTAGCTGTAGCAGAGGAGGGAACAGCTCTGACACGACTTAGGAATTGGAGGGAAAAGGATTGCCCGTGGAGCCGCACCTTAATCTCCCCCCCGCCGCCGTAATTCGTACTACGTAAAAAGTGCAGCTCCTGAATTGGCCAATTGCCTGTGGGATTTGCATTGCACAGACCAGGTACGTACGAAGTACTACGCATCTACTAGTAGTACCTGCTTCGAGCCTAAAGGAGACTTTTTTCAAAGCCGAATCTTAGGAAGGGGGAATAGATGGGTACGGTTGGTACGTAGTACTACCGGTACCATGCTTCCTAGTAGGAGGGGGGAAGGGGGCTTGGTATGGACCCGCGGTGATCCTTTTGGTAATCCGCTCAGGGGGATAATTTTCCCTCGCTGGGATGGTAAAGTCATAGATGGAGGGCAGGATTTTGGCTCGTTATGCGGGCGGTATATTGTACTACGTACATGGTAGATACGCAGGAGATCGAAGGCATCGGGATTCGATATACGGAAATTTTACCTCGATACAAAAAAGCGAAAATACGAGACGAGGCGTCGTTGGGATTTTCCGGCTCCGCCAGGTGGGATCATGAGGATGATATCATAGCATTTCATCATCGTATAAAAATGTACTACGACGTATATTATAATTACTCGGGTTGAATCAAGGGGGTTCCTGAAATATCGGCTCGGTTAATTTCATGTGACAGTTGACATCGACACCGAATAGCTGTACGCTGCATGTACAGAGGAAAAGCTAGTCGAGTGTGAAGCATGCACTAATGTCATCTTATAGTCATATATTGAATACTAAAGTAGATCGTCTGATCTCGAAAACTCGCTAGGACAAGGAATCGACCGGGATGGGGTGATTGGGTAAACTCTAAGCGAAGGCTGCGATGCCGGTATACGACGCGACTGAACTATCGATCAAAACAATAACTATAACAACGAGCGCAACCTGCGAGAGGGAAGATTGGAGGGAACGGCAGGCTTTGCAAGGATGAACCTTTATTCGTTGCTTTGTTCACTGCTGCTTTACGAGGCTGGGAGGAAGTAGTACTAGCAATTGTCATGGCAACAGGTGGACTTGGTCGGAGTTCACTCCGCGATCCAAATAATACTAGTGATTAGGAGTTCCTCTGTAGATCCCACTACTGCTAATAATATGCTCGTGTTGCAGGATATTCAAGAAAGGACCAGCTGGAATTCTATTAGGGAGCCCGAACTCCACAGATTGACAGTGACATGATACATGATCGCTCATGCTAGCGGGCTCAGCCAGCCCCGAAGAATCACCCATCATCTCCTTTTGGAGCATCCACTCCTCGGGCGAATCATCTCCTCGATGTTTCTGGAAACGTGAATCAAAGCTTGGAGGGCCAAGTGGAGCGAGGACTTGACGTAGGTAGTGGTAGTAGGACAAGTGGAAGTGCGAGGCGGACTTTCGGACGGTTTAGGCTTTTCAGCCCTGCCGGAACCTGGCTCATAACACCTAATTCTACAGCTCCAGGCTAGGTACCCCCGGCTCCCAAACGCCAGCAGTTATTATTACTCGGCTACTTTAGTACTGCAACTACGGATTGGAGTATCTCGTCGGCCGAGCGCATCCTCGTGTTGTCCCTGCCCCCAACCCGGCCGATGACTTATGGGTACCTACTGCGGTCCAGTACAGTAAGTAAACAAGGGGAGCTCATCCGGCTAAAACGGGGCGCGCCTCCGAGCTATTTTTGGTATGCCAACGCTCGTGTTATCTGCTCCACTTTGATATTGAGAGGTGATGTGGGTTTATCGGTGTTGACGCATCAGTCCTGTATAAGAATGACTTGCCCCTGGGCCATTCTTTCTTCTCACCACAGCTTCAAAGTCTCTTGTTAATAGATTGTTTGGTTTGGATCCTAAACACCACACTCGCTTTCAAGATGGTCGCCCGCTCTGTCAGCCTCTTGGCAACTTTCGCTTTAACTGCCAATGCTAATTATTTCTACAAACCCTACTCTCCGCCTGAACCTCCCGCTCCGGAGCCCTATGTCGCGTCGCCCTATGCTGGGCTTCCGAAGCCCGATGTCACCACCTCCTCCGCCCTCCCAGCCTACTCTGCCCCCAAGGACTGCGAGAAGGTGCGTTCCGATTGCCAGTCTCAGCCAGGTGCCAACCAGGCCTACTGCTCCGCGCTGTACGCCCAATGTGCCGGAACAACCGACGGCTTGAACGTGCCCGCCCCCTCAAGCACCCAAGACAAGGGAGTCCACACCACTCTCTGCCCGACCAGCTCGTACGTGGTTGAGGGAGACAAGACCCACACGATCTACTACACATCTACTTCAACCATGGGCCCAGAGGAGACCTACACCCCATACGGAAAAGGAGCCCCAGTGCCAACTTCCCCCGCAACTGAAGAGTGTCACGCTCAGTACAACAGGTGCCGCTCGGGAAGCACTCACTTTTCGACCTGCGTTGCCCAACTCTTGTCTTGCAAGAAGCAAGCGATGGATGATTACCTGAGCGGCAAGGGCAAGAAGCATTCTGGCAAAACCGAGGGGTACCCTACCCCAGCCTCTTCCGACTGCCAGGCCAAGTACGACGCGTGCCGTAGCAGCGGAAGCCCCAACTTGTCTGCCTGTGTCTCTGAGCTCGAGGCTTGCAAGAGTGACTCCGAGGGATACCACCCAACCCAGAGCCTTCAACACGCCCCAGCACCATCTGCCCCCGCCACATCTGA